GACAACGAGAGAAGATTCTTGACAGTCTTGTTGCATGAAATGGAGGTATGTCGGCCCACGAACTGATACATGCTGCAGGAGATCGCGGATTGGGGGAGAGGCATGATCGCCCCCACCAGTCGACAAGGCGCCTGATGATAATAATGATACATGACTGTGTATATGATACAGTGGGACAGTGGGCTGGGGGGGGGGGGGGGGTGCACATTTCTATGGGTAGGAAGACTCTATTACCCTCCCTAAAAACATTAATAGGGCGGCTCATTCTGTCCCCCTCCATATAATTAAATTATGATTATAGGGGGTGGGGTGGGGGTGGGGTCACAGTGTCTGTTCACCCGACTGAGGCACCTATGGTCTGGGAGACGATCGACTTCATTTGACTGGGTCACAATCTGTTGCTCTTAAAGAATAAATTTACCACTATTCATTCACTGAATAACATGACATTAATAAGAACGCGTAGAAACACTAGGCCGGGATTCGACAGCAGTTTAGTAGTGTTGTGTCAAAGTAATGATGATGATTTTTGGGACCCCCCTCCCCCCCCACCCCCTCCCCAGTCAGTACATACACAGACAGGCAAAACAGTGACATTTTTTTTCTGGGAAATAACTGATCAGGACCGTCGGTAGTACTACCGACGCCCTGAACTGACAGTCTAAAAAATTGCGTATACTTCAGGCTCCACATTATCGCGTACAGTGTCTCAAAAGCTATATGGCAGGATGTAGTGCAGGATTCACTCAGGGCAGACATTTTTTGCTGGCCGGCCAAGACATATCTGCGGACGTCCGGTGTGACGCCGGCCAAGACATATCTGCGGACGTCCGGTGTGACGCCGGCCAAGACATATCTGCTGACGTCCGGTGTGACGCCGGCCAAGACATATCTGCGGACCTCCAGTGTGACGCCGGCCGTCAGATGACTAACTCTACCCTAGATATTATAGTAATTAAAAGCTTTAGGCCTAGGGGTAATTGGAACTAGAAATAAGTAACAGGACTGACAAACGGATGAACAAATTTATAATCTTTAAAGAGCTTCAAAAAGAAATGTAATCGAAATCACCTGAAGACAGTGGGAAATGAGTTCAGTTCAATCGACTTTCTAGGATTAAATAAATCAAGCGTGCTTATCTTATATCGACTTAGTCATAAATCAGACATTCTAGGCTTGCTCCATTGTCCAAACAACAAACGGCCAACCTGGACATTAAATACTAGATTCACGCGCAGATTGCTTGTTATAGATTATAGATATTATTCCGAAACAAATAAACGATCCAGATAGGAGATCATAAAAACTATAACAATGTACTGATCGCCTTAACAGAAGATTACAGATATTCCGAAACAAATATTGGTTTATTTATTTAAACTCTTGGAGTCGTATGTTGTGAGACTTTTTGCCGTCGTCCATTTATTTTTTTTTTTTTTTTAATTCCTCCCCACCCTCTTTTACCCGATATCTATTTTCAGGAATACACATACATACATGCATTCATACATGCATACATGCATTATTTGGTACATTTCCGTTTTTCCAGACGATAGTATTGTACTATAATGAAAAGTAGAAACTACATCATATGGCGGTGGCGATTATGGCTTTGCAAGGCCAGCTCCCGACAAGAAACGTTTTCCACAGTGGCTGCATGGAAATTCGGGACCATTTTTGTTATTGCATGTTGTTTTTCTTCTCAAACGCTCAGCTCTTAGTCTATCTGCAATCACCTTCTCTTTTGCCTCTAATCTCCTCCTGATCTTTCCTGTCCATGCAGAGCGATCTGTAGCATCCTGGTCCAATGGTTTTTACCTCAATACCTGTTTCATTCATGTCCCGCTTGCATACGTCTTTGTAACGAAGCAGCGTTCGACTTAAAGGTCTTCTGCCTGTCTGTAATTCACAATTTTCTTTGAAATTCTAGCATCCTCCATTCTCCAGGTGTGGCCAGCCATCTAAGCCTACGAAAATTGAGCATTGAAAAAATTGTTTGAACACCAGCTCTTTCCAAAACCTCAGTATTTGTTATCCTATCTTGCCACCTAATGCCAGGTATTCTTCGTAGGCATCGCATATGAAAACTGTCCAGTGGCTTCCCTTGAAACGAGTTAGTTGACCTAGTTTCACTACCATAAAGAAGAGTTTTGATGACACATGCTTGGTAGCTAATAGTCTCCCAAACTCTCTTTTTTAATCTGCTCATTGTTAGTGTTGCCTTCCCTATACTAAAGTTGATTTCTTGATCCAGTGATAGTTTGTTGTTAACTGTGGTACCCAGATATGTGAAACGGTCAACCTTATCAAACTTTTCACCCTGAATAAAGACTTTAGGTCTGTGGCAGACACCTTTTGCCAAAATCTGTGTTTCTTCTTGATAATTATTAAACCAAATTCACAACAAGCATCAGAGAATGCAGACAGTAAACGCTGCAATACCTCCACTGAGGGGGCTATATTTGCAGCGTCGTCCGCAAAAAGCCGCTCTCCGGTAAGTATCTTCCTGATTCTAGTTTGGGCTTTCAGTCTGCGAGCATTGTAGGGGCCTCCATCTGAGCGAGAATGGATGAATATGACATCCTCCTCGTTTCGAAATGCATATTTCAAAAGGAGAGGGAAATATATTCCAAAGAGAGTAGGGGCAAGTACACAACCTTACAGCAGCTCTCTGATAAATATATTTCTTATCCTGGTTTTGGCCTTCAGCCTGCGTGCATTGTAAAGGCTGCTGTCAGATCGAGAATGAATGGTGCTGGTGGCCACATCTTGGATGTTTCCATGACACCTTATGGCGGTCTTTAGTTTTGAAAAAGGAGTTTGTGATGCACAAGTCACTTCTAGTGCAGAATTCTCAAGTCTCTGCCCATTTTCATTCATGTTGCCAACATTATATTTTCCAAGACAAACTGGCCATGAGTTTGAGTCTGACCCTTTGGGAGCATTAAAATCACCAAGTATATAGATGCTGTCAGATTTAGAAATTAATTTCACTGCGTTATCCAGTTCCTCATAAAAAGAGTCCGTTGCGTCTTCTGCTGACGTTAGAGTGGGTGCATCTGCAGTAACAACGGTAATAAAACCGCTTAGTGGGTGCATATGCAGTAACAAGGGTAATAAATCCGCTTGAGGCAGACAATCGTAGGGATAATATTATGTCACTTCCTTCAGTTGGACTCTCAACTGATCCTAACAATCAATTCTTTACTGCAAATCCCACTCCATACATCCTGATTTCTTCATGGCCTCTGCCTTTCCAGAAAAATGTACAATTATTTTCTCAAATAGACCCATCCTCTGGCAGACGGGTTTCCTGTAGGCCAGCAATATCTATGTCAAGTTTGTTGAGTTCAACATCAATGATAACCGTTTTTCTCACATCATTAATGTTTACCAGATCAGTGGAAAAGCCTGCACACATGGTCCTTACGTTCCAAGAGCCAAGTCGAAGCTTGGGGTTATATTTCTTTTTATTGCCTGGTGCACTGGTTTTACAGCCTGCAGTTCCGATTTTGTCCTAGCTCCAAGCACCCATTATAGCATACAAGCTGTGGCGGATCAACGCCTTAATGGCTGGGGGCTGCCCAGCTTAAGGCGGTAGTTGATCAGTGACATTCGAAGATGTCTTCCACCGTCATAGGTAACCCGTGGCACCCCTGTCTACGCCAACTGACAAGGACTTATAACCCGTAACTGCTGCCTCTTGATTAGTTTCCGAGACCGATTAAGGCCAGGGATGAAGTTCCTCCTCTCCATAGCACAAAGCCTGGGCAGTATTGTAGAGACCATTTGTTGCCCATGCATAATGATCCCTCTCTCGACCTGCTTTGTTTACTACAAAGGAAAGGTAAAACCATTACGTTTGCAACGAGGCAGGTTGCAGAAGTTGCCGGATCAGAAAAGCAGTGCTCTATCTGTCCGCCTGTCGGAGCTTCCCTCCTAGACCAGCTGACAGCCAAGGCGAAGGGCCTGGTCTACCCTGCCATAACACAAAGTTTTCAGGTTGCATTTCCTCTTCCTAGGATAAGGCTAGTATCCTCTCAAATGCGCTCCTCCGCCCGAAGCCGTTGGCACAATATAGGATGTTGGGTTAGTATACGCCGCCCAACATTCGACGTAACAGAAAACAGGTTGTACCGGCTACTGCTATGCGAAAGCGCAGTCATATCTGACCAAGATCTGACATACATACATACATACATACATACATACATACATACATACATACATACATACATACATACATACATACATACATACATACATACATACATACATACATACATACATACATACATACATACATACATACATACATACATACATACATACATACATACATACATACATACATACATACATACATACATACATACATACATACATACATACATACATACATACATACATACATACATACATACATACATACATACATACATACATACATACATACATACATACATACATACATACATACATACATACATACATACATACATACATACATACATACATACATACATACATACATACATACATACATACATACATACATACATACATACATACATACATACATACATACATACATACATACATACATACATACATACATACATACATACATACATACATACATACATACATACATACATACATACATACATACATACATACATACATACATACATACATACATACATACATACATACATACATACATACATACATACATACATACATACATACATACATACATACATACATACATACATACATACATACATACATACATACATACATACATACATACATACATACATACATACATACATACATACATACATACATACATACATACATACATACATACATACATACATACATACATACATACATACATACATACATACATACATACATACATACATACATACATACATACATACATACATACATACATACATACATACATACATACATATCTCTTTATTCAGACTTACAGAGATCAGTAGCGCGGCTAGGCGGCGACGTAGAGAAAACATCAAAGAAAACTGTCAAGCCAGGATGTAACTGTGTCAGGTAGGATACAAGTGTTTGTTGTAGAACTGTTGTTGATACTACCGGTTGTTTAAACACGGCTCTTTAAGTCTTCACCTTTCTTTAATTCATTCCTTGCACTGTTCATCCACTTGTTCTCAGTTATTTGTTTCGCAATGTATTCAGCTATCTTTGGTGGCTCTGCAACATTCACTGGCGTATGTTAAAAGTTAAATAACATTAGAAGTGCCATGCGGCCTAAATGAAAACCTATTTGAAATGCATCGCAAGTGACGGTCCAGTATTTGAATGGGCTTCACCTCTTTATTGATCAAACAGTGCATTACAAAACACTGCTCCTCTTTGGTGCATGTCAAAAGTGGGCCGGCCATCTTTGAACTGTTATTATGACGTCAGTGTGTTCATCTACGCCATGATGTCACGTGCTTAACACTCCTGAGTTACGGCATATTTACAGGTTACAATACAAGGGCGGGATTATTGTAATTTTTATAGAAATATTTGGGGTTATAATTTGAAGCATAGGGATCTTCCTGGCGAAGTAGTCACGCCTTTTGCTTCCCGCTCCGAAGGTCGTAGGTTCGTTTCATTGTTGCGCTGTTCAGTTCACAAATGTAATTTTTAAGAAGATCATGGGGGATCGTCGCCAGATATAGAGATTTCGTGCTCTGTGTGACGCTCTTTTTGGCAGAAAGCTGTCCTCGAAGAAGGACTGAGCCATATGGGATAACACCTGGTGCAGTAAAGTCGGTCCTTTAACCTTACCTTACCTTACGATAATAAGAAGCCTCCTATTAACTTAAGTTTTTTTTTTTTTATGTTAAATAATTTATAGTTAAATATTTTGTACACAGAGATGATCGACGACATTGCACTGAGCTTTAACCCATATGGTTCAGTCTATCTCCGCAGAACGGCTAGCCAACTGCCGAGAGCGTCGCACAAAGCACAAACTTCCTGGCTCCCCTTAACAACTGCACTGGTGAACAATACGACGGAGCTGTGAAACTTACCCACTATCAACAGAGCCAGATAAACGGGTTGACCACTTCTCCGCTGTGACTGTCTTGGCGAAATAATGTGAAAATTGTCATATATTTGTGGCATGGAAAAGTTAAAGTAGGTGGGTAAGTTGTACCATACCAGAATATCCCACAAGCGATAAACACTCGGTGACACAAAGTGCCACCATGCAGATGAGGATCACCCGTGGAGAGGTCCCGGAAACCATGTTCAACCGTTAGGCCAAATTTAAGGCCCGGCTATATTTAAGGCCCCCGGCAAAAGCCAGGGTGGGGCTTCAAAATAAATAAAAATAGCATCCCACATAGGGACGACTGATAAATATCTTCTCCTTCTTCTTCGCGTTCACCAGCTGTACACTCTGGCGGAAAGTTCTGGTTGCTCGTCTACTACTGAACTGCAGTCCTGCTCCAGAACCTGAGTGTTGCGTGTGCATCAGTTTTACAGATCTCATTCTCTTGAATACAGACTGTTGGTTCCTTGCCTCTCCGGCAGACGCACTCCGTCTTCAAAGGAAGCTCCCCAATTAATTGACTCTTACAACATGCTTTTGGGGAGGCAGTGGGTCTATTCTTGTTTTCCCCACAGTGGGGGCCCCGGAACCCACACAGGGGACTGATAAATATAAAAGTTAAAGTAAAAATTTTGAGATCGTGTGCCTGTCCCGTGGAAACTTATGGATGTGTGTCACATACCCTCACTCAGTCTTTGACGAAGAAAATCGTAGCTTTTGAACTGAAATTCTACACAAAAATTCGCCTGGACCAATAAGAATAAAAACATCGACATTCTGCATAACATGAACATTAAGGATAACTGGCTCGAAAACAGCGTCATCTCCAATGAGCTTGGTTATTTTAGACACGCCGAGCCTTTAGTGGTCTGGACAGAACGGTGATGGGGGAAAGGGGAGGGGCAGTTTGTGGATAACGAGGCAGAGGTAGACCTCCGCGAATGTGGATAAGAACATCGAACATGCACTGGCCATGAAAGCACACAGGGCTGCAGAATTGGCTAGAGAAAGAGACTTTCAGGCGTGTCGAAAGAAAACGACTTTCTGTAAAGGACTTGCTGATTGATTGTCACATGATAAATCCCCCCCCCCCTTTTTTTCCCCCTAAGTCAGTGTTCTTCAACCCTTTCACACTCATGGACCGGGAATATAGGAGAAACGTCTTCGTGAATGGGCTAACGGCTAGAGTAGAAACATGCATAGAAAATATACTTTAAGCGTTTTCAGGAATTGAAAACATATTATCTGTAGTACCGTCTTGAAGAATTTGAGGTCCCAGTCTTTACCACTGTCTGAAAGAAAGCTACAGGAATAGCCAATATATTGTAACGGTCTACGAAAATCGAAGATTTGATTGTAAAAGGATTCTAAGCCGCAGAGCCTCAGTTCATATCGATATCATTTTATGTAATAACTCCAAAAATGAAATTACCCTTGTTAGCAAATGAGACATTAGTACGTATTTTTCTTCTCAAAGTCCATGCCATGTGGCGTTGGTAGTCATGTCTATCCACAGCCTTCTGTCTCGTGTACTTTCAGTAAACTCTGACACAAATGTTTCTCCATGCCATGATGTCAAACTGTCCAGCATCTGTTCTCTCAGTATCCCTCTGCCTCTCCTCAGCTCCAAGTTTCCTACTGTCACTATGTACTCCAATTTTCTCCTTCTCATCACACGAACAAAGAATGTAGTTTGTCTCTTTCTGATATCGGCAATCAGTTCTCTTCGTAAGTCAGTTTTTTTCAAGACGTCTTCGTTATTCTTTTTATCAGTCCAGGGTATTCTCATCATTCGTCTATAAAAACTACATCTCCGCAGCTTCCAGATAAGTTTTCCCTAATTCACCAACTGTCCATGATTCAGCTGAAACAGTATTACAGACAGGATAATTATCTATCGTCTTTTCATCTTTCCCAAAAAAGTATATCATTGCAAGCCAACAAAGAGACAGTCAACATCAGCTCTTTGATACGATTCCCTCCAGTGCTGTTCAACGAGAACATCGATAATTTTACCTTCGACAACGGTCATCTCTTCCAGTGTACTCAACCAAACGGCCCAGGCCCGGATGGAATTGAGGACTTGATGTGTATCGTAAGTGAATGACACTTGTGTAAGTTTTATGTGTATAAGGTATTTGCCTGCCAAGTTAGAGGTTTGGGCTCCGAAGAAGAAGAAAGAAAAAGAAGAAGAAGAAGAAGACAGAAGAAGAAGTGTGTCTAGATGATTCTCAAGCCAGCGGAATGTAGCAATGACTGCCTCCACCTGCATTCTCAAACTAGACATTGTGATATCATTTGCAAGGGTTTGTTGCACTAAGCGACGTCCATTCGCTTTTACCATGAACCCCCATGTTCTTCGTTTGCCTCTCAACACAGAAATATCTGTATAGATAATCACATCACATGGCCGGGAATTGTCATGAATCATTTGTTGAACTTCTGATTCTTCAGCACCAGCAGGCCAGCACCTGCACTCACGACCTGAAGTGATTAGAACCCTACACAAGTCTGAAACTTGTTTGGACATCTTGAGCCACTCCTCTCCTCGACAACATGTATCAAGCCTGCACACATGTCCAGTTGCGTCTTCTGCTTGCGCCATCCAAAACTGTCCTCTTCTCTGTGACCCTTAGCTCTATCCAGAGCTTCATGCAGGAGGTGCTTTTTGTCTCCAACTACTCTGAGATATGACTTTGCTTGCAAAACTGTGAATCTATCTGCAATAGTAAGCAGTGCAAAAAAAAATGAAGAAGAAGAAGAAGAAGAAGAAGAAGAAGAAGAAGAAGAAGAAGAAGAAGAAGAAGAAGAAGAAGAAGAAGAAAAAGAGAACAGTAATAAAAATAATAATAATAATAATAAGAAGAAGAAGAGAACAGTAATAAAAATAATAATAATAATAGTAATCATCATCATCATCATCATCAGAAAAATAAGAAGACGAAGAAGAAAACAAAGAAGAAGAATGTGCACTCCGACATCGAAAGAAACTCCCCCTTTTTAGCTGCCTAATACGACATGCCTGCTAGGGGGCAGTGGGTCTACTCAACACTCCAGCTCCAGAACCCAAACTGAGAGGGATACATCTAAGTAGCAAATGCGACAGGTAAAAGAACTGGCCACTTTACATCATTATGTCGTGGTTTGGTATTCAAGAAGGCCGATTGCTACAATAACATGCCAGGACAACTGATGGTATCCCTGCAGAAATGGCGTATTCCCAGGTAGTGTAAGAACAATGTGTTGTATTTTATGGAAGCATAATCAATCAATTCAAAGGATCTGGACAGACTACGAATGAAAAGAGGATTACTGAGAGGGAAAAAAAAAGAAAAAAAAAAAGAGAGAGGGACAATTGAAATATTTTAGCTACATTAAAAGACAAGACAAGGATAAAACGACTTGACGTGAATTGGTTTGGGGCCTATGCTCTATTGGGGGCTAAAAAGGCAGAGGAAGAAAGAATAGACATAACACTCTTTTAAAACTTTTAAAAACCACATTGAAAAAAAAGGGGGGGGGGTGGGGGTTTGAGGGCAAGAGAACAAAAGGTAAACTGATAAAAGTTGGAGGACAACATCGATGGATGAACGAACAGCAGTTTGAGATAGTGAACAACCAAGACAACAGAGAAAGCATGTTTGAGATCCATGTCAACATTCATTGTAGAGACGGCACCTGATTGATTAATGATCCTATGGGCGGCTTAGAATCTAAAACTGCAAACGTGAACAAGAGATCATTTGGAAGTAACAACACCTGTTTTTAGATATAGTGAAAAACACAGACTGAAGTGGTTTGGTTCCCTGATGAGAATGAACCCAAATGCACCAGCTGCATGGCTGCAATATGAAAATTGAAGCCTCAAGAGGCAGAGGTAGGCAAATAAACTATGGATAAATGGAGTTAACAACTTGCTAAAACAACAAAATCACCATGAAGCAAGCAACAGCGCGCGCAAAATCCGGGAAACCAATTATCAGCCGTGCCTGAAACGCCTAACAGCAGTAGACAGAATTAGACAATATATAACTCTTAGATTACTTGCATAGGGACGTGTAAAACAGGTTGAATTTAATGAGGAGGAGAAGTCTAAAGTTTGAACATCAGATCAACATCGTAGCACACGGGTAGTAACCCAGAAGAGCTCCATCTTCTTCTAACTCAAGTCTGACTCCGAAGAAGCTCAGCACAATACACGGGCTCTGTAGCACCGGTAAGGATCCTGAAATACTTTTGGTCGATTTTTAGCTCACAATTTTGCCCGGGCAGCGTTGTTAGGCTGCTTTTTTCGATTTCCAACTGCCAAAAGATTTTTTACGTGCGCAACAATGCACACGGGCGTCCGATCTCACTACCCATATACCACGAGAAATTACTAGAAGTCCAGTCCACGTGAAAAAAATCCCAGCCCTTACCGGGTATTAAACTTGTAATCGCCAGCACTCGAGGCGGACACCCTGCATCGAGACCACGCAGCACTCCTGAGGAGGAGAAGCGAACAGAGAATCACCACACAGATTCTGAACTGAAAAACTGCAAGGCAATCTGGTCACCCCATAGTTGCTCCGTTCCTGTGCCAAAGACAACCACGCCAAATGTCCATCACCGTCTCTTGTGAAACAGTCTCAGTAGAATCAATAGCATATATATGCATTAAATGCATAAGGCAGTAGTCGGAAGTGCCAACACAAACAGTCTGGAACTGGAAATGCAGTTCTTTGAAATAATCACCAGGGATAGTCAGAAATGGAATAATAGACTGCGAAATCTATGTGGCGTACAATCACACTTCATGATGATGATGATGATGCGCATTTCTGTTTCAACTAAGATTTAGAAGCTGCCGTTGTTTTTTTTTTTTTTTTACAGCCGAGACCCCACTATCTGCCTGGGTACAAAAACCCATGCTTCTATGACAAATATCAACTGTTTTACTGTATGCCATACTACATAATTCTGGGCTTCGACAAGTGTGGAACCACTGACCTCTCCTACAGACTGCAACTACACCCGTCCGTGCTGAAATCCATCGCCTACCTGTACAAGGAAATCTATTACTGGAGCTGGCGCAGGTTTGGTGAGTTCGCATACATGTATCACTCACGCGCACACACATCACACATAATAACACACACCACGCATCACACACACACACACATACACACACACACACACATACAAATATGCATCACTCACAAACACGTCTTATTAAACTGCCCAGAAATATATTAGTCATACTAATTACACGTGAGGCTCCCGGGGTTCAGCCAGTCTCTATGAAATGGGTACCAGAGTTGACAACCCGGGGTAAATGAGGGAACGTTGCTGTAGCTACGGAGTTACGTGCGAACGGCGACACAGTTGGACAATTCTTATCAGCTGTCCGTACTGGTGGCAGAGCACGTATGGTTTATAACTGTGTGCAATGACGCTGATTCACATCTCCCGACTTTACCTTTTTTGTATTAATTACACACGGCTGGCAGTCGATGCAGTTCTGTCCAGAGAAGTCCTTCACATACCGTGTGTGAAATTGAATCCTGCCCCTTTAGACTTTCTCAGCAACGTTCACAATAGGGTTTTTCTTTTGCGTCTTTGCTTTCTCAGTTGATTTGTTTCCATTTCAATGTCTGTTTTATGATTCCTCATCCAAACAGTCCAATAAGGTTGGGTAGAGGAGGGTGGGGCAGGGAAACTAATGGTTTAAAAAAAAAAAAAAAAACTAAGTTATCCAGTGACATCTTATCCTAAGTTCACGATTATAACTTGATCCCACAACCCCAAGGGTACTGATCCCACAACCCCGAGGGTACTGATCCCACAACCCCGAGGATACTAATCCCACAACCCCAAGGGTACTAATCCCACAACCCCGAGGGTACTGATCCCACAACCCCGAGGGTACTGATCCCACAACCCCGAGGGTACTAATCCCACAACCCCGAGGGTACTGATCTCACAACCCCAAGGGTACTGATCCCTGCTCTGTCAGGACAATCACAAGAAACCCCACTCACATAAACTACCCAACCAGATGACGCTTTAAGTGGATGTCACTTGAAAGAAAAAAAAAATGTCCTAAGCTGAAGGAAGATCAATGCATCAATATTGACACCCAAAAGTTGACCGTATTTAGATAAACATCATTTGTGCTTGGGATTATAAAGATATACGCAAATCAGTCGATGCATCAAAGGATTAAAGTTTATTGCACTTCTAAATTCTGATTCCGCAATTTAGAAGCTGTATACTTTGATTGATCGCAATTTTGTGACCTAAACTGCATTTAGAATTATCGTTTTCTCCTACTTCTGTTGCTTCTTAGTCCAAGCGGCTGGCCGAGTGGTTACAACGTCGAAATCTCATGCAGGAGATCTGGGTTCGACCCTCAGTAAGGGATAGAGTTTTTTTTTTGTCTGGAGCAAAATTAAACATCCTAGCCAGCACAGTCCTAGGCGACAACACTATCTACTCGGCCCTAAATCCCGAGGCTCATGCCCCCCCCCCCCCGTCTGCCCCACCATAACAACGACTACCGGTATAGGACTGCAAGTGACACCCGGCTGGTGTTGCCGTTACTGGTGCCCTAATTATAACTTCTTTGGAGGTTGAATGGGGTATCTGAGATCTGCCTGGTCCAGACTGAGATTTGTAAATCTCTGGATGGTATGGTGAACCTTTCAGTAGCAGCCCGGAAGAGATAAGTCGATCGATCTTATTCAACAATAGAATAAAGACCTACATTCAACTAGCGCCGTGCTGACGACTTTGTCTTTGCAATGACGTGCATCTCATCCCATTTCTTTCTCATTAACCCCCCACCGCCACCCCGCCTCCCCTTCCCTTTACATTGTTTGGTCTGCCTAGAATACTTGACCCCTATGGTTTCTAGTAAAAGAACATTCTAGTGAAATTGGTGTCAGGATTCTCAATGTGTGTGCTATCCAACGCCTTCGTATTTTCCTCACGTTTTGACTTAAATTATGAATCGACCTCATGTCATAGAACGCGGGAGTTTCTTTTACAGCACGCGCTCCGCTATCATCATCAACAATAGCCAGTGACGACCGGTTCCAGTTCATAAGGTATCAGTGGCAGTTTGTTTAAAGGAAAAAACAGGGGGGGGGGGTGGGGGTTCAAGGTGCCCGAGGAAGCATATTCTGGTGCCCATGTTTCACAAAGCCTAAAAAAAAAATCACTGGAGTGAAAAGGCAGCTGTTTAAATTAAACAAAGCAGGCAGGTTTCTTGTCAGCGTCACAACAGACAGCGGATTTTTTCCTAGGCAAAAGTAACCCCTGAAGGTAATGGAGTTACTTGTACGGTTTTAAGACCCCAAGACTTTCGGTTCAGCAGGCAGACGCCAAGTCACTGCTCTACGATAGCTCCAATACAGGTAACAGTCAAAGATCCCTGGGTGGGTTCCATCAAGGATCCCATTGTGGGGAGGGGGAGGAACAAGAATAAAGCCACTGTCTCCCTAAAGAGAATGTCGCAAGAGTCGACTAATTAGGGGTTTCCATCGACGTCAGAGTGCATTCCCCTGAGAGGATAGGTACCTACAGTTCTGTATACAACTGGACTTCCGTTTTCAAAATGGCGGATAGCAGCGTTGTTTATTTTCGATGGCTGTCAATTCTCTCGGATTATTCTGTTTCATAATCATGGACTGCTATTTTATGCGAATTTCCCACACTATGTATTTTTCGTGAGAGCAGCGTGCATTGTGGTTGTGCTGTATCGGGGCGGGATAATGACCGATACTTTTGGCAGCCTCGACCAAGCTGCCTTCGCAATGTTTTGATCGCGGCGGTCCACTCTGGAAAACAGAATCTTGTCAGCAGGGGACTGCAACTCTCTAGAGAGCAAACTCGATAAAAGCTGTCCCCAGAAACGGAATGTGTCAACCACATATTTGGTGGGGAGGAATCGACACATACGGTTAACTCAATGGCATGGCAGTATACAACTTAGTCAGATCTGTAAAACGGATGTGCACGTGACACTGGAGTTCTGGAATAAGACCTAAGTTCAGGAGTGGGAAAAAAATCAAAACTTTCCGCTGGAGTTTAAAGCCGGTTATGGTGAAAAAGAAAAAATAACAGGGAAAGAAATATCCAGTAACAGGTTTTGATTAAATTTTGAGCTTAAAGAAAAAGGTGCCATCGGTTTACATGCCAGTTAGGACAAACACATTATTTATGACTATAATATTCTAACTAGGAAGATGGGAAAACGATGAGAGGCTATTCAGAATTGAAATACAAAAGCTTTGGACGAAAAGGGTTTCTTCGAAAGAAAAACGAACAAAGGAGAGAAAAACTGGTGGGGTTAATTGAAGGAAAGGGGTGCAGAACACTGATTCCTACACAGCCGAGAAAGCCCAAATTATTTACCAGATATGTACCTTTAACATCGACTGTACCGAGATCGCCATTATTTTTACCCACAAATCAGCCGAGGTAATGATTTGGCCAAATGTTGCCAAGCCTGCCCGCAGCGTGTCTAAGTCCGCTATTCAAACTATGTTTGAATTAACTAGGTGTGAAGTAGTTTCAATCGCTTGTTCAGAGCTGGTCGATTATTCTTTTCATAAAGAACACACACCACAGGAAACTAAAGAATATATTATTTAATTAATGTTTTCAGAAAAATTACAACAATCCGAGCGAAAAGAAAATTCAAGTCATCTACGTGGCGGATGAATATGATGGAATTTAAGTGCCGTGGCATTTTCGAAACATGCATTTTTACTAACACAGTCAGCCCGATGCTTTCACAGCAACTTCAGCTATCCCCAATAAACTTCATGGATGACACTAGCCGAAGATATCATCAGGCTGGCAGCATCACTCGAACAAATGCACAGTGGCCCGGAATAGGGTGACAGGAGAATACCTGCCAGCAGATTATTATTACATTAGGAAGAGAGTGTAGAGAGTTATGATAGCCTATACGGCATACAATGTAAAATTGTGTTTATCTAACAACTCAGGGGAGGCAACTGCTGGAGACGACTACTCGGGAGTGAAACGTCCAGGAAACGAGTGCAATATCATGTTTTCAAAAGTTCCCTAAACTTAATATACTTAAGTAACTGTAAGACTAACCAGACTATCTTGACGTTCAACAATGTCACGGCTCTCTCCAGGCTATCAGGGCGTTTACCAATGTCATCGCTCTCTCCAGGCTAACATAACGTTCAACAATGTCACCACTCTCTCCAGGTTATCATGACTTCAACTATGTCACAGCTTTATATAGGCTATCATGACGTTTAACAGTGCTACAGGTCTTTCCAGGCTTTCATGACGTTTAACGATGTCACCACTCTTTTCAGGCTATCATGACGTTTAACAATGACACTGCTCTCTCCAGGCTATCATGACGTTTAACAATGTCACCGCTCTTTCCAGGCTATCATGACGTTTAAAAATGTCACCGCTCTCCTCAGGCTTTTATGACGTTTAACAAGGTGACCGCTCTCTCCGGACTATCATCACGTTTAACAATGTCACCGCTCTCCTCAGGCTTTCATGACGTTTAACAATGTCACCGCTCTTTTCAGGCTATTATGACGTTTAATAAAGTCACCGCTCTTTCCAGGCTTTCTTGACGTTTAATAAAGTCACCGCTCTTTCCAGGCTTTCATGACGTTTAACAATGTCACCGCTCTTTCCAGGCTATCATGACGTTTAATAATGTCACCGCTCTTTCCAGGCTGTCATGAAATTTAATAATGTCACCGCTCTCTTCCGGCTATCATGATGTTTAACAATGTCACCGCTCTCTGGAGACTATCGTGACGTTTAACAATGTCACCGCTCACTCCAGGCTATCATGAAGATCAACAATGTCACCGCTCTCTCCGGGCTATCATGACATTTAACAACGTCACCGCTCTCTCCAGGTTATCATGACGTTTAACAATGTCGTGCTCTCTTCCGGCTATCATGACGTTTAACAATGTCCCCGCCCTACAACATTTAAAGAAATAACAGTACACCTGGGTAATGGCAGAACAGCTAGATCTATAAAATACCTCAAAACTCCACCAAATGGCCATCGGCGGATAAGAGGTGCCACTATAACCTCTCCTCCTGCTGCCTTGCAGGGTGTATTTTTTTAGACAAAGGCTAGTTGAGTAAACCATAAACAAACCGTCGGAAGACAAGGGAAAAACCACCACTGTACTTTCCCTTGTAAGTCATGTCTTTAAAACAATCGAATTCACTGGGTTCTGTTGGAATCACCTCGTCCGGCAGGGAGCGGCATGTTCTACAATGAAAGAAGCAAATGCTCGAAAACAACCTATCACAAACATCAGAAAGAGGCGGTCATCATATTTTGGGTCATTTTATTAGTAGAGGGAAAATGTGAAATGTTGTGACACCTGGAAAGATCTGTGGAAAAAGAGACAGAAGAAGACAGCAGGAAAAGATTCTTGACAGCCTTTTGTCATGGCACACAGGGGTGTCAACACACGAACTGATGCACGGAGCTGCAGATCGCAGATTGTGGAGAGGCATGATCACCCACGCCAGTCGGCAAGGCACTTGATGGTGATGTTAAATGTTAGTTTTAAAGTAATGACAATACACACGAGTAATGGCAGACAAGATTTGAAGTAATGACAATACACATGTGTAATGACAGAAAACATTTAATGTATTGACAATACACATGGGCAATGGCAAACAACATTTAATGTAATGAAAACAACACATGTGTAATGGCTGACAACATTTAATGTAATGACAATACACATGTGTAATGGTAGACAACATTTAAGTAATGACAATACACAGGGGTAATGGTAGACAACATTTAATGTAATGACAATACACAGGGGCAATGGCAGACAACATTTCATGTAATGACAATACACAGGGGCAATGGCAGACAACATTTAATGTAATGACAATACACAGGGGCAATGGCAGACAACATTTAATGTAATGACAATTCACATGTGTAATGGTAGACAACATTTAATGTAATGACAATACACAGGGGCAATGGTAGACAATATTTAATGTAATGACAATACACATGTGTAATGGTAGACAACATTTAATGTAATGACAATACACATGGGCAATGGCAGACAACATTTAATGTAATGACAATACACATGTGTAATGGTAGACAACATTTAATGTAATGACAATACACATGTGTAATGGTAGACAACATTTTATGTAATGACAATACACAGGGGCAATGGTAGACAACATTTTATGTAATGACAATACACAGGGGCAATGGCAGACAACATTTAATGTAATGACAATACACAGGGGCAATGGCAGACAACATTTAATGCAATGACAATAAACATGTGTAATGGTAGACAACATTTAATGTGATGACATTACACATGTGTAATGGTAGACAACATTTAATGTAATGACAATACACATGGGCAATGGCAGACAACATTTAATGTAATGACAATACACATGTGTAATGGTAGACAACATTTAATGTAATGACAATACACATGGGCAATGGCAGACAACATTTAATGTAATGACAATACACAGGGGCAAAGGCAGACAACATTTAATGTAATGACAATACACAGGGCCAATGGCAGACAACATTTAATGTAATGACAATAAACATGTGTAATGGTAGACAACATTTAATGTGATGACATTACACATGTGTAATGGTAGACAACATTTAAGTAATGACAATACAAATGTGTAATGGTAGACAACATTTAATGTAATGACAATACACATGTGTAATGGTAGACAACATTTAATGTAATGACAATACAAATGGGCAATGGCAGACAACATTTAATGTAATGACAATACACAGGTGTAATGGTAGACAACATTTAATGTAATGACAATACACATGTGTAATGGTAGACAACATTTTATGTAATGACAATACACGGGGGCAATGGTAGACAACATTTTATGTAATGACAATACACAGGGGCAATGGCAGACAACATTTAATGTAATGACAATCCACAGGGGCAATGGCAGACAACATTTAATGTAATGACAATACACAGGGGCAATGGCAGACAACATTTAATGTAATGACAATACACAGGGGCAATGGTAGCCAACATTTAATGTAATGACAATTCACATGTATAATGGCAGACAACATTTAATGTAATGACAATACACAGGGGCAATGGCAGACAACATTTAATGTAATGACAATACACAGGGGCAATGGCAGACAACATTTAATGTAATGACAATACACATGTGTAATGGTAGACAACATTTAAGTAATGACAATACACAGGGGTAATGGTAGACAACATTTAATGTAATGACAATACACAGGGGCAATGGCAGACAACATTTCATGTAATGACAATACACAGGGGCAATGGCAGACAACATTTAATGTAATGACAATACACAGGGGCAATGGCAGACAACATTTAATGTAATGACAATTCACATGTGCAATGGTAGACAACATTTAATGTAATGACAATACACAGGGGCAATGGTAGACAATATTTAATGTAATGACAATACACATGTGTAATGGTAGACAACATTTAATGTAATGACAATACACATGGGCAATGGCAGACAACATTTAATGTAATGACAATACACATGTGTAATGGTAGACAACATTTAATGTAATGACAATACACATGTGTAATGGTAGACAACATTTTATGTAATGACAATACACAGGGGCAATGGTAGACAACATTTTATGTAATGACAATACACAGGGGCAATGGCAGACAACATTTAATGTAATGACAATACACAGGGGCAATGGCAGACAACATTTAATGTAATGACAATAAACATGTGTAATGGTAGACAACATTTAATGTGATGACATTACACATGTGTAATGGTAGACAACATTTAATGTAATGACAATACACATGGGCAATGGCAGACAACATTTAATGTAATGACAATACACATGTGTAATGGTAGACAACATTTAATGTAATGACAATACACATGGGCAATGGCAGACAACATTTAATGTAATGACAATACACAGGGGCAAAGGCAGACAACATTTAATGTAATGACAATACACAGGGGCAATGGCAGACAACATTTAATGTAATGACAATAAACATGTGTAATGGTAGACAACATTTAATGTGATGACATTACACATGTGTAATGGTAGACAACATTTAAGTAATGACAATACAAATGTGTAATGGTAGACAACATTTAATGTAATGACAATACACATGTGTAATGGTAGACAACATTTAATGTAATGACAATACACATGGGTAATGGCAGACAACATTTAATGTAATGACAATACACAGGTGTAATGGTAGACAACATTTAATGTAATGACAATACACATGTGTAATGGTAGACAACATTTTATGTAATGACAATACACGGGGGCAATGGTAGACAACATTTTATGTAATGACAATACACAGGGGCAATGGCAGACAACATTTAATGTAATGACAATACACAGGGGCAATGGCAGACAACATTTAATGTAATGACAATACACAGGGGCAATGGCAGACAACATTTAATGTAATGACAATACACAGGGGCAATGGTAGCCAACATTTAATGTAATGACAATTCACATGTATAATGGCAGACAACATTTAATGTAATGACAATACACAGGGGCAATGGCAGACAACATTTAATGTAATGACAATACACAGGGGCAATGGCAGACAACATTTAATGTAATGACAATACACATGTATAATGGCAGACAACATTTAATGTAATGACAATACACAGGGGCAATGGCGGACAATATTTAATGTAATGACAATACACAGGGGCAATGGCGGACAATATTTAATGTAATGACAATACACAGGGGCAATGGCAGACAATATTTAATGAAATGACAATACACAGGGGCAATGGCAGACAACATTTAATGTAATGACAATACACATGTGTAATGGCAGATAACATTTAATGAAATGACAATACACAGGGGCAATGGCGGACAATATTTAATGTAATGACAATACACAGTGGCAATGGCGGACAACATTTAATGAAATGACAATACACAGGGGCAATGGAGACGACATCTAAATTAATAACAATCATACATTCATTTTCCAGGGTTGTTCGTGAAAACAAGCATGCGTGTCATGAAGTTCAGGGAATATTACAGCTCTTTTAACAACGCCAGCGACATTATAGAACCTCTGGCGGGGCAGGCTAACCAGCCTATTGTAGGTAGGTACGTACTGGGTAGATTTCAACATTCGTTCTGGATACTCAACTAGCGTCATGATGTAGCAGGTCCCTCGCAGAACGTCGCTCTTACCTACACTGACCGGAAAGTCATTTTGTCCTTTATAAACATTCCTGCCTCGTGGACATTCAGGTACGGGGTGTCCTTAACATCCTGTGTTTACTGAAGTGCTGATTGAACGCTGCCCCTTTCTCCCGCAGCCGTACCTTCTGTTACTGTATGTTTCAAACTAGTATGACGTCTTCTTCTTCTGCTATCATCCGAAGATGTAATTGCGTTGTGTCCGTTTACAGCATCACTGCGATATTTGCACCTTTCGGCCAACACATCCGACTTCTGCGGGCATTTGTTGACCGGGTTAGCCTTCCCGGTTGTATGACATCTAATACGGCCGGCTTAATGCTGACCACATTACCCACCTAGTGCAGATATTCTGAAACAATATGGGCGCTTGTCCCATACACCCGATGCGCCTAAAGGCGTGAGAAGGGAAAGAGAGTATGAAATCTTATGGAGGATGGCAGAGTCCCTAAGGACATCCCCATGTGGTGATATAAAAACGGATAGAAGACGTCGAGATCGATCTCTACTACAATATAAATATGTGTGCAAGAGGGACATGAATGTTACAGATGTTGAGGTGGACTCGTGGGAATAAAATGCTATGGATTGTTTTGTGTGGAGAGGGCACGTCAGGAAATGAATGAGAATATATAAATGAATTATTGCAGATATTCATTTCGCATACTATTCGTGCTTCAAAACTATGGTGGAACAAACTGAAGATAAAGCTAATTTGGGACATCAGATTTCTGCACAAAATAATAAACTCATTGCCAAAGTCAGAGAACGGACACACGAAGATGGATGTCTGAATGTGAGGATGATGGCAGGTGAATTTGATGCTATCTGAGAAAAATCAGTAAACTTTTCATAGTAGATAGGTTAGTTACAGGACGTTGCAGAACCAATCCCAACAGCACCTGGCTGTTGTATGGTTTCTCTAGGCAAATTTACGTCCAGTAGATTGCCATTGCTCTCTGGACGGTCGGCTTTCTTGATACCACTGTCGAAACCAACGCAAGGCGCGTGGCCCGCAGCTGGGATCGAACCCGGCATCACAGCAGATAAGGACAAGAAAAACAGACGCTTTTGTTTCTATGCCACATCGTTTGTCAGATAACAAAAAACAAAAAAAAACAAATGCGTGCAGATATTATCCCTTCCGTTCAATATGGCTAGATGAATGAACCACTGCCTCGGGATAAGGGGGAGGGAAAAAAAAACATGCCTAGAGTAAAAAAAAGGTCAATAACCTATTCTCCGTAAACTCCGTAAGATCCATTTTCACGCATCAGGCATATGGGAAAAGCATCCCATATTTTTACAGACCAATCGTCATTAGGTTGGTAATGTGGTCAGCATTACGCCGGCCGTCATTACTTTTTCAGGACATACACCCTGGTACCCATTTTAGGCTGGGTCGACCTGCGGCGCACCATACCATGATACAAATCCACGCAGCCAACAGTGGGTTTCGATCGCGGTAGGTTGGAATTACGAGTCGGACTCGCAACGCCTAAGCCACGGACACCGCTGAATAACCTATGACAGTCATAATACCACACACAAAACCGTGTGTTATTAATACAAAAAAGGTAAAGTCGGGAGATGTGAATCAGCGTCATTGCACACAGTTATAAACCATAAGTGCTCTGCCACCAGTACGGACAGCTGATAAGAATTGTCCAACTGTGTCGCCGTTCGCACGTAACTCCGTAGCTACAGCAACGTTCCCTCATTTACCCCGGGTTGTCAACTCTGGTACCTATTTCATAGAGACTGGCTGAACCCCGGGAGCCGCACGTGTAATTAGTATGACTAATATTACTGGGCAGTTTAATAAGACGTGTTTGTGAATGATGCATATTTCTCTGGATCAGTTTCTTTTTTAAAGTATTTTTTTAATACTTAAAAATAAAAATAGTTGTAGGCACAGGTTGTCAATTAAATCATTTATCTACAACTTTGACTAATTCCTCTATTATCTCCGTCAAATCTATTATTGTGTACAATATTATGACAAAATATGTTTGAGGTTTTAAACAGCGGATCAACTTCATGGCACACGGGTAGTAATCCATAAGTGCTCACTTCTTTATCTTACCTATTTAATGTGATGACATTACACATTACCTAAGTCTGTCCGAAGAAAGTCAGCACAGTGCACAGGCTCTGTAGCACCGGCGAGGATCCAGAAATACTTTGGGTAGATTTTAAACTCAAAATTTTGTCCGTACAGCGCCTTTCGGTTACTCTTTTAGATTTTCAACTGACAAGGGACTGTTTTTTTTTTTTTTTTAGTACGCAACAATGCACACGAGCAAGGGGGAATTACTAGAAGTCAAAATCCACGTGAAGCATCCCAGCCCCTACCGGGTATTGAATCCGGAACCTCTAGCACTCGAGGCGGACACCATACCCCGAGACCACGCAGCCCCCCCCCCCCCCCCCCACCTATTTTTTTTGGGGACAAAATATTCGTTTCCCTAGCTCATCAGTGTTGCTCATTTCAAATCTCCTTAATGCCATTATGACCTCTTGGATTAATTACCTAGAAAATATATTTTTCATATAAACATTTTTTTAAAGCTACAGGTTATCAAATAGATAATTGGATGAAAAAGAGGAAGGAGGGGGAAACAAGAGAGAAAAAAAAAAAAGGGGGGGGGGGGTGTTCGCCATTTAAATTTTTTATCTACAAAGTGTATATGCAAAATCTGAGCTTTATAGCTTTTCAGAAAAAAGTTTAAAAATCGAATGCAAGGTTTTGCACAGACGTTCATAGATAAGAAAAGCAAACTTTAACGCTTAGTTTAAAAAAAAAATGGAGTTTATTGCGTTATAAAGATAATCGGTTTTTTTTCTTCCTAGGCGATGGGGGTCCCACTGATGGATGGGACTTCAGGGGTTGGCAGATGGACCCCCAGAATGCGGGACTGTCTGAGCCAAGGGTTTTAGCCCCACATCACATAAGGCATTTATTGAAAGAACCCAGGTTCATTGTCCTCATGAGGGAACCTGCTGAACGGTTAGTGTGTGTGTGCGCGCTTGTGCGTATGCGTAGAATTATGTGTGGAAGAGGAGGAAAAGGAGAAAGGGCAGGAGGAAAAAGTGGAGAGGGTTTCTGGCATCCTATCTCTGCGGTTGTTCTCCCCCCTCTCCCCCCCCCCCCCCCCCCCGTTCGTTTACTTACCTGTCTCTGTCGCTCTCTTACTACCTCACTCTCTCTTGACAGTCGTTTTGACTTAGTTTCTCCTCTTTGGCCTCACTTCGTCTTTTTAGTTATCCTCTTTAATATTCGCCTCCCTGAGAGTCTTGTCTAAGTTCCCATCTCTCCCTGCTGCTACCTTTTACGTTTATTTATTTGTATACTTCATTTTCCTTATGACTGCTCTCTCTCTCTCTCTCTCTCTCTCTCTCTTTCTCTCGCATTCGCTGACATTGTCAGGCTATCTCCCTAAATGGGTTCTGGAACACCCTTTGAGGGTAGGAGGGGTGGGGAGAGGGTAGTCTACATACAGTAAACAAACACGTCAAAAATGGCGATTAATTAAGGATCTGCTGAAATCGATTGCAGGATCGTGTGACATCGTGGCATGGACGGGCATCTGTATCAGAGCTGACTGAAAGTACACGAGACAGAAGGTTGTGGGTAGTCATGACTACCAATGCCACACGGCATGGATTTTAAAAAGAAGAAATCGATTATGTTGTCACCTTCTCTTCCTTTGTTTATGCCCCCCCCCCCCCAATCGCTGCTCCTGTTCTCACTGTATTCATCTGACAATCTCTTCTCTATTTGTGCTATCTCTGTAAGTATGTCTGCCCTCTCTTCTCCCGGTAAGCCTTCTTCTGGCTTGAGAACTAGCTGTACACACATCCGATTGTGACAGACTCACAAAGCATCTAAGCAAAGTGAAGACATGTATTATTCCTGTAGAGTGGCAAGCATCGCTTCAGATATCCAGTGTTGTTTCAGAGATCCCATGTTATTAATGTCATTTTGGATATTTTCTAAGGATCACGCAGGTGGGTTGGGAAATTAAAAGCCAGTCAGACCGCTGGCTAATTTATCACTTGAGGATCAGCTGATGCCTGAACAACTAGAAGTTATCAAGGAAGTTTAGAAGCGAATGAACAGTGCAGAAGTGCACCACAGTCACCACAGTCTGAAAATAATAGTTTAGCGGGGAGTGACCAGGGGCTCTCAACATTCAAGGAAAGGGCAAAACTGGCATCAGAGTTTCAGCTCTGCTCTGGTTACTGAACATGGAACAGAGCGCTTACGGGAAGGTGTCGAGTACTTTGATGTCCCCTCCTAACAACTCAACTTAGTCCTGTCATTCTGTTTTGGTCTCTCTCCCAGTTGATGTAATTCCTCTCAATCCTTCTGCTCTTCATTTGCTCCTTACCCGAAACTCCTTCAGTTTACAAGATTGCTACTGAAACTTCCCGTCTGCAGAAGTATAAAATATGATGTTAGTAGAGACAGCAATTGACGAGGTCTTGATTCGCTTGATCAGCAAGTTAAATAGTGCTGGATGTTGTCAGCAGTGCAGCTTGCAATCAAAATATGGATTAGACCTCAGTATGCTGATAAGGACAACCTCGATAACATTGTGTCCAGCACGCTTGCTTATTTTTGCCATGCTCCATACTTCAATTCTATCTTTCTATCCTTGGAGTGGGGTGGGAAGGGGGCTGGTTTGTTCAAAGACAAGCAAATGTTTGTCTTTCTTCTGTAACATAATGCCTCATTAATTTAAGGTGTTAGTTTTACTCTTTCTGCCCAATTTGCTATTGTTTTGACTCAGATATTGGCTCCTTTAAACAACATGTTATCATAGTATAAGAAGTTCTCAAAATGTATTCTGGGCGCCATTTTTGGAAAGCAAATAACAGACAATAGACGCACTACCCTCTAACAAACAGGTCGTAAGGGGCAACGAATTAGGGTTGTTACCTTCAAAGTCGGAATGAAACTGCATGATAGGCAAGAAGCCAAAAGTGTGTATACAAGTATGTCAAATTTATCAAATGGATACGTACATAAAGTCCAGTTTCTAGAACAAGCGTGAAGTCCATAAGTGAGTTTACAGCCGGCGAACGACAAGAAGAGAGAGAAAAAAAGATAATATGCGGAGTTTTATCAAATATAGTCTTGTACCAAAATGAAAACATTTTCCAATGATTTAATCTCGTACCAAAATGAAGACATTTTCCAATGATATAGTCTTGTACCAAAATGAAGACATTTTCCAATGATATAGTCTTGTACCAAAATGAAGACATTTTCCAATGATATAGTCTTGTACCAAAATGAAGACATTTTCAAATGATATAGTCTTGTGCCAAAATGAAGACATTTTCCAATGATCCCAGTGCAGGTTATACTCAGACTACCTCTTCCTCCGCTATGGCGATTCGCCTGAAAAGTTTGACAGAGATGCCAGGACATCTATAGATATGATGAACGAATGTCTGAAGGTCAATACCACTCGACAGTGTTTCTACAGTCGCCAATATTTTCAGAAAACCCCAGTAAGTCATCGTCTCTTCTGTGTCCGTCACTGTCTCTCCCCTGTCAGTCATTGTCTCTCCTGTGTCAGTCGTTGTCTTTCCCGTGCCAGTCATTGTCTCTCCCGTGTCAGTCATTGTCTCTTCTATGTCAGTCATTGTCTTTCCCGTGTCAGTCATTGTCTCCTCCGTGTCAGTCATTGTGTCTCCCGTGTCATTCATTGTTTCACCCCTGTCGGTCACTGTCTTTCCCATGTCAGTTACTATCTCTGCAATGTCAGTCACCGTCTCTCCCATGTCACTGTCTCCCCCATGTCATTCATTCTCTTCCATGTCTATCACTGCTACGGACTGACTATTACGGTTATTTAAAAATTAAACTGACCATATTAATCAATATACTTTAAATACGTATGCGTTTTTTTTTTTTTTTCAAACGCAGGCCAGGCTCCACATCGGCTGTTATTCCGTTTTTCTGAGAGAATGGTTTTCGGTTTTCCATAGAAAACATTTCTTTTTTCTCCGTTCAGAGGATTATAAAAAAGATATCAGAGGAAATCTGCAGGCAGTGTTTGCTTTTCTGGGAATTGGTAAGTTGACTTTCCGTACTCACGTTTTGCAAAAGTCTTTTCTTCCATACTTTAGAGGCCATTTTGGAATATTATGCTAACTTTATTTTTTTTAAGGTCGATTGGCACTTGGTTGAGGATGTCGTTGATACCGCGACAGCAGTCTTTATTTTCTTGAATATTTCCCTATTTTTAAACACATGACATCAAAGTAAATGTGTTAACCACAGCACTAAGTAATCACGTAAATAAGATCCCTCGGCAGTTGGAAATCGAAAAGAGTAGTCTAACTGCGCTGCCCATGCAAAATTTGGAGTTAAAAATTTACCCAAAGTATTCCAGAATCCTCGCCGATGCTACGGAGTTCGTGCACTGCTTCCGACTCAGGCTTGAGTTAGAAGTAGAACGGAGCACTTATGGGTTAGTACCCTTGTGCCAAGCGGCGTCAGTGGCTAAGGCGTTGCGAGTCCGACTCGTAAGCCAGCATACCGCGATCGAAACCCACTGCAGGCTGCGTGGATTTTTGTCGTGGTATGGGACGTCGCAGGTCGACCCCGCCTAAAATGGGTACCAGGATGGGCTGTCCTGGGAAAGTAAAGACAGCCGGCGTAATGCTGACCACATTACCCACCGAGTGCTGATGGTCTGTAAAAATATGGGACGCTCTGCCCATATGCCCGATGCGCCGAAAGGCGTGAAAGGGGATCTTTACTTTACTTACCCTTGTGCCATGATGTTAATACGATGTTTAAACCTAAACTAAGTAATTAATGGACCCTTCTCCACGCCTTCGGGCATACTGAGCATATAGGGCCAATAGACCAATCGGCACTCGGGGAGCGATGTGGTCAACTTCACTCCGCCCGCCTTTACTTCCCATGACTTTACCTGGTACCAGTTTAAGACAGGGTCGGTAATTTTTTTTGGGGGGGGGGGGGGGGAGGAGGAAGAAGCAGACTCTGTTCGGATTTGAACCACGACCTTTGGATAGGCTGCACCACGGCGGCTCCCAGCCACAGTACTAGCCCTTAGCATTTAATGAACCCCTGACCTTACTGAAGATTGTCACTTCAGGATGAAAGTCATAAAGATTGAGAAGTACGACGTTCAGTCTAAGTGGGGTTGGTTCTAATACCGATGGTGGCAACATGTTGTGCTTCCTGGGAATTGGATGATGGTACATTCCATCACATGTTTATATACCATTCCACCTACAGTCGCTCTGATGTTTGACCTTTTTCGGTACAGGAGGAGAAACACACGTAGATCTGTCAGCGGTATGAACACTCAAGAGGTTATAAGTTGTATAAAGAGTTGGACATTCCAGTCAGAGTTATTTAACTGGCGGCCCGCGGGCCAAGTCCGACCCACAGAATCTTAGCACGTGGCCCAGAAGAAGAAGAAGAAGAAGAAGAAGAAGAAGAAGAAGAAGAAGAAGAAGAAGAAGAAGAAGAAGAAGAAGAAGAAGAAGAAGAAGAAGAAGAAGAAGAAGCAACAGCAGGATGATGAGGATGAAGAGGAGTTCTAATGCTTAATCAGCATCAGACAAATATTTCGTAGGTGGGACAAAAATGGATCAAGTCTGATATTGATAAGAAAGTAAATCCTGCACGAGAATACGTAAAGTGTCAATGTTGAGAATTATCAAAGTAGGTAGTTTAACAATTTACTGCAAGTACCCCAAAAAAATGTCCTTGCATTCAACAGATAGTTTACCAGACACACTCTTGGACACTATCAGTGACCAGGAGAAGAGGCTGCAGACGACGCAAAAGAAGAAAGCAGGCCCCATGTTACCGGAAACAAAAAAAATGTTACAAGATTTTTACCAGCCATGTAACAAGGATTTGGCTCAACTGTTGGGTGATGACAAGTACCTGTGGAATAACACGTGACATTGTGCCATTACAGTAAATATTTATAAGAATTGATATTATTTTTTTTTTTCCTTTCAAATCAGTGGCGGCTCGTGCAGAATCACAAATTGTTGATTCAAAGATTACTATCGGAAAAGTCCATAAGCGCTCCGATCCTATCTTCAGTATATCCCCCGGCATGTGGCGACTGATAGCACCTGTTCTCTGTTGGTTTACCATGCTTCTTTGGCTACCTGCACAGTGTTCATGTTTGGCGACACCTCTTTTGACCTGAAGCTCTTGTAGTCTTTTGAGTGTCGCCGATTGAAGGTCGTCTCCAAAATCTCTTCTCGTCCTGTCTCCTTGAGAGCATTGCGGATGTCGGCCCCGTCCATTGCTTTCCCTGTACCCACCGTGACCATGCCAGCAATCCAAACCGCTCTTTCATTCCCTCTTACTCCAGAGTGTCCTGGCACAAAAATGAAACTAATTCCTCTCAGATGAGATTTCATCAGCGACACCAACCATTCTCTTTGAATCCCTCCTGTCTCTATCTTCTTAAGCTTACACATGGAATCACTTAGAAAGTTAGGTTAGTTACGTATCCTTTACAGGACGTTGCAGAACCAACCCCAACAGCCCCTGGCTGTTGTGTGGTTTTTCTAGGCAAATTTACGTCCAGTAGTTTGCAATTGCTTCTGGACGGCCGGCTTTCTTAATACCACTGTTGAAACCAACGCAAGGCGCATGGCACGCAGCTGGGATCGAACCCGGCATTCCGAAGCGTTCGCATCGACTTAGCCACAGAGCCGACACTTAGAAAGTACGCATGGGAAAAATGCTCTGTCTCTAGCCACATCGTTGCTTTTGTTACCGCATTCACCACAGCACCCTCTATTGACCCTCAGTTTATAAGTAACATTCAACATAGTGAGTTTTGTTCTTGTAAATTTTCTTTACACATGTACATTATATAATGCATTTACTTGTTGTAAATAACCATCCCTTTGTTTAAAAAATTACAAAATCCTTGTTAGGAATCGTAATTTTTACAGTTCTCGAAACACAGTGTTTGGCTGTTGTGCACACGTCTGACTTGCAAATAAAGTGCCCACGTTGTTTTGATATTTTCGTATTTAAAAAGATAAATGGGTCAAGCTTTAACTAACAATTTAGTCTTTAAGTGATTAAATTTTTTGGCTTTTGTTTAGAATTTTATTAAGTTTATGTTTACATGTTATTCTTATGTTACAAAATATTAATACAATGACTAAATAATTTTTTTGAAGCAGCAGAATGTCAGTTAAAAGAATCCTTTCTATTGTAAAGATGTTTGTAGTGGGTTTGTTTCAGTTTGACTGAAAAATATTTTTAAAACACACACATGGTAATATGATGGGTTATGTACTAGGGGAGGTCAATAAGCAAGCCAAAAATAATTTTTTTTAAAATACATAAAAAAACTAAAGACTAACAAAAACAACAAAAAACAATGTCCCTGTATTTTGCAATGTAATTTCCACAAACATTGATGCACTTGTCCCGTCGTTTTATCAGTCCTCCCAAACCTACTGCATAGAACTGCGTGCTCTTTTTTAAACCACATTTTCCCTGGGTTATCAGTGGACCAAAAACATGTGAGCACCCTATTGCAGCTGCTTTAGAGTCAATGGTTACTAGCCTGTCACCTGTAATCATCTTCTTCACCTGCTACAAGGATGCGTCTGTTGCAATCTCAAGAGGACGACCAGATCGGACTTTACCAACAATCTTAGAGCATCCTTGAAAAAAAAAATTCTTTACCCAGCTATGCACTGCTGTACGGCATAAACATTAGTCAGCATAAACAAGAAACATTTCCTTACGAATGTCCTCTGAGGCAGCATTTTTTGCCCCCCCCCCCCAAACGCACAACAGCACGCTGTACTTTAAGGGCCCACTTTGTAAGCACAGTCACCATTTTGTTTGTACTGCGCATGCACATGCAACACCAAACCAACGGAGGCATACAGTTGCATGCTGCTGTCACATAATGACACCTTTAGAAACCACTAACTACATTTTGCTGCCATCCCATAACCGTTTGTGTGTATCTAACTTTTTGTCTTTTATTTCAGAATATTAATAACAGAATCAAATGTAGCCGATGTCTCACAATGTCAATAAAATGATTATTTGAATTGTAAAGATGTTTGTGGGGGTGTGTCTTACTTTAAAAAAAAATTATATTAAAAGAAAAAAAAAATACAAGTGGTTCATGTATTTCAGGATGTCAATAAAAGAATCATATGTGATGGAAAGATGTTTATGGGTATTGCTTCAGAATGTCAGTAAAAGAATCAGATACATTGCTATGATGTTTCAGAGTGTCAGTAAAGAAATCACATACATGGCTATGATGTTTGTGGATGATGTTTCAGAATGTCAGTACAATAATCACTAAAACACAGTCCTACCATTAAACAATGAGAATGCCCGGCTCTCTAGCGTAGTTGGCTAAACCGGATTGCGCGGAGACCGGGTGATGAACTCCTTGTGGTCCGGGTTCAATCCTGGTGGTAGGCAGGAAAGCCACATTTTCTCCCAGATTTACGGTATTTACAATGGAATCAAGGCCGAAAGGTTGCGATATCCATAATACCGAGCCTAAAGGTTAACAACTCATGGCTTCTGGATACTAAAACAAACAAACAACCATGAGAATGGTGTTATTATGGCCAAGACAGAAAAAAGCCATCCACGAAGCAAAGCATGACATCCAAAGAGGCATAATTCATCTATGATTCAACCAAATTACAATGCATCCTGGTCAGCAGAAAAATAAACTGCCATTTTGTTTAACTAGAGAGTTGTATTAATGCGAATGCAGCAAACATTAAAATCTGTTAAAAATATGCTACTGAAGTGATGAATAAAGTTATGGGATTCAATATTTATCTTGAGCACAGATATTTGGGTGGTATTCATAATTCAAAACTGGTGCGTCAAAGACTGAAGATTAAGTGGGGACATCCAATTTCTGCTCGTAATGATAAACGTACTGCCAAAGTCAGGGAACATACAAAATGAAGATCAATGTCTAACTGTGAGGATGATGACAGATGAATTTGATATTAATTTAAATAAAAAAGACAATCCATAAAATGTTGGAAAGCCTGTAGCAGAGTCCGACTCAAATATTCAGAACCTGACAATTTGTCCCTCCTGCACAATAATGGACCTGCTCACAGAGCAGTATCTGCACATGATTTTTTGGTCAAAGAGTGCCTGCACTCAGCCATCCACCATTCTCTGCAAATTTGTCCCTCTGTTATTATTTCATACTCCTAAAACTGAAGTTCTCATTGAAAGGCATTCCTTTGATTATATTGATGACATCCAATAAGCTTTAGCAAGTAAATATACAAGAGCCATAACCCACAAAGGCATGGAGAGATAAATCCATAATTTGTTAGGTCATGCCTCTTGTTTTAATACTGTACCTGGGAAGGCTTACCCGGTGACCAAATGCCAGATATAGTCAGATGTGTCTGCCAAAAAGTGAAAATATTGCATCGATGCTGTAAACAGGCATGACACAATTACGTCACTCGGATGAATGACGAGAAGTATTAACCCTTTGGAGAGGGAGAATTTTGTGGAGTTTTGGTGCCAAGAAGACGGAGCCTTTAGAAAGGGATTCTAATAGTTTATGCACAATAATAAAAAAAAAAAAGCTATTACTTGACATATACGAAACTATGTATATATTCGTGTAGGAAATTGATTGAACTAACAGACTATTTATGAATCAAACTGACATCTTAACATTTATTCAAATTGACTATTCTGATTTGCATAACTTATGCAAACAATTTTTTTTTAAACTTGGCAATAAACATAACTAGCCTGAAATATTTGGGTGAATTTTTTAATGCAAGAATCTTGAATAAGTCCTAACACCCGTATTTTGGGAAGTTAGACCCTTGGAGGCCCTTCAGACACGCCTGGCACATGGATTTACTCATTTTCCTGCCTCTAGCCATGTTTCAGTTGCTATGACGCAACAGTCCTTTTCACCATTTTTTGGGGCACAGGTAACCACAGAAAAAAATTGATGTAAAATTACAGAACACATCAAACTTTCTTGAAAGCCATCAACTAACACCCCACATGTGCAAGAAATGCAATAAGCAATCTGATTGGCTGGTGCGAAAACCTGCCAGCCAATATCAAGGTCTTTATTACACAGGGCTGACCGATCGGCCCAGCCGTCCTGGCTACTTTGCGTTAAGCCAATTTTACGGTCGTATCGTCTCCAGAGGGTTAATACTAAACAGAATTAGTTGGGTATATGCCTTGTAATATCTCAGGTTTTGGTTAATAAATTTGTTTTTTTTTCAGAATCATTTTTATTGGCCTCACTGTGTATGAAAACTCCGACTCTACAAGAGCATAATTTTGCCAGTTCTTCTTTATGGAGCGGAATGCTGGAGAATGACCAAAAAGGATGCACACAAGCTGTCCACCTTCCACCACACATCTACGTAGAATTATCAAAATTTTCTGGCCAGATACAATCTCAAACACTAAACTACTTCAAGCCGCAAACCAAGAAACTTTAGACAGTATGATTACCAAGAGAAGATGGAAATGGCTTGGCCACGTTATGAGAATGACTTCTGATATACCTGCCAAAACAGCTCTCACATGGACACCAGAGGGAAAGAGAAAACAGGGGCGCCCAAAAACAACATGGAGACGAACGATGGAAAGTGACCTGAGTGCGGCATCTTTGACATGGAAAACTGCACTGAAGATTGCACAGGACAGGAAAGCATGGAAAGTCCTCTCTGAAGCCTCATGTGCCACTAGGCACAACAAGAACTGATGATGATGATGATGATTAGAATCTTGGTCATGAGAGACCAACATTCTTAACCTTTTGACCAGCAGCCAAAATCAGCTCTTTAACTCTTTGAGTACCAAGGAACGCATCATACGTTCATAGGTTACAGCCTAGAAGCCCAATGAACGTATGATGCGCCGATTTTAGTCTCTTTTGACTACCCCTTGGGCCTGTGATGCTAAACCCCCTGGGACTCAAAGAGTTAAGATGTCTCCCTATCATATTCTAACCTTCTGGCCGTCTACTAACTTCCTCTTTGGAAAATAATTTAGTGGTTCCATATGACCTTCCCCATAAGCATTGAATAAGAACAGTCACTGCTAGTCTGTTGAAATCTAATATGTGGTGAACAAAGTACATTTCACATCTATGCTAATGGTAACAGAATATACCAAAACTGTTTCAAGAAGCCTCCCCGTGTGTGCCAACATCACAGCCTAGCTGTAAACCATAACACAATGTGTCAACTGCCCTTTTAACGTTGAATGCAAAAGAAGAAGCTTCAAGAAAAATATGATAACCCTGGGCTCTCTGCTGAGCAAAGAGTACACAATAACAAAACAAAAAAGTAATTAACAAAATCTTTTCTTTGTGTGAGATATTTATTTCTTCTCAAGATTAAATATCAAGTAAACAAACTACATCTTTGACATGGAAAACTGCACTGAAGATTGCACAGGACAGGAAAGCATGGAAAGTCCTCTCTGAAGCCTCATGTGCCACTAGGCGTAACAAGAAAACTACAACTGTTTGAAAAACAACAAATAAAAAACAACACACACACACGGCAAGGAACATGCACTGTGATAGTACATTTTAAAAACAAATAAAACTGATCGTACAATTATAATAACCAATGCTTCATTTTGCAGTAAAAGCCACATTTGTCTGAGGAGATCTAAACTGGCATTAGCAGAATTTAGCACTATTCTGATATCAATGTAAAATCCTGGCACTTCCTGTTTACTAGTAATACACTAACACAATAAAAACCACACACAAAAATCATTATTTTACATTGTTCAGTGTCTAGAACAAACCAGATCATGCAAAAGTATGGTGTGTCTTATCTGATCTTATGTTTGTTAATAAAAGAAATCTGAAAAATATTTGTATCTAATGGCCAGGAAATAGATTATGCCCGTCTCTATACTTGATACATATGAAGAAGCCAGGTGATAATATTCTGTTCAACCCCATGTTTGATAAACTTGGGACACAAGATAAATTCTGTCCATCTCTGTATCTAATTTGTGGCCAGGAAATAAATTCTAGTCATCCCCATACTTGATAAACTTGACCAGGAGACAAATTCTGTCCAATCCACGCTTGATAATCCTGGGCAACAGATATATAATATCCAACCACCCGACTGAGAACTTTGGCAGGGAAGATCAGTTCTGTCCAGCCACCAGCCGATTATTACATCTACGAGATAAAATCAACCACATCTGGCAAAGCTGACTGTTGATGACTTGTAAATAAAAGTGCCAAATTTACATGCAAAACTAGTTAAACTTAAAATTATTCAAGATAAAACTGACCAACACAATAACAACAATAACAAAGCAGAACAGAAAAAAAAAAACGTTTCATACTTGCATACACATTCTTCACAAATGAGAATTGACATCTAAATATTGTAATATAACATATCACAAGCTTTTGTATAACCGGAAGACCCAAAGCTTTCTACAAAGCTGAAGGTTTGATACCAAACACAAAGTATGTTGACACAACAGCGCTCAAGGCAATGACAAAGTAGCCAGATCTGTACAAGGTTTTCAAGCCAAAACCGTAGCCAGCATCCCATGCCTGTTATGATAAACATGAAACAAAATAAATGTTATGTTTGCAGCTGCAACTTCTGTTGAAATGTAAAATAACTGAAATCTTAATACATACTGTTGGCAGCTTTGGAGATTGGATGAGATAACTAGTTATCTTAATTCTATTATAAACAAGTTACCTAGTTCAGGGATGTAAAGTGTGAATTTCGCATAAAAAGCAATCAAATTAACCATCTTTAAATGTATGTGATACAAAGAAACATCTCAAGTTAAGCACACACACCCCCCCCCCCCCCAATGCTATCAGTGTCGGACATGGTTACTCACAACAAAGAAAAGAAAATTAGTAACCACAGAAATAAGATGTCCGAAAAAAGCTGCAAAAGTGACCTGAGGAGACAACACTGGGAATGAGGTTGTAAGATAAAAGTCGAACAGAACCAATACTAAGTTATATAAAGAGACACACACACAAAACTTCAAGAGTTTTGATGTCATACCATACATATAGCCACGCCCTTGTGTAGAGCTGCATGCCATGCATTTCGGTCTTGAGAGGCAGCCTCCCAATTGGTGTCATTCATCCCAAATACTATGAGTGAAGATTTCAAGGTGTCCTTAAAGCGTTTCTTTTGCCCGCCTTGGGAACGTTTCCCATTTTGCAGCTCACCATAGAAGAGTTTTTTTGGGAGCCTGTGATCTAGCATGCGTGCCACATGACCAGCCCAATGAAATTGATACTGCATCAGTAGAGTGTGGATGCTGGGCATGGCTGCTTTCTCAAGGACTACGGTATCAGGTACTTTGTCTTTCCATCTGATATGCATTAGTTTTCTAAGGCAGACTGTGTGAAAGTGGTTTAACTTTCTAGCCTGGCGCTGGTATAAGTCCATGTTTCGAATTACCATAGTTGACAAGTGTCTAGTGAAAAAAGAACAAGTAGAGCAATGGAATGTGAATTGGTCTTCTTCCCTTTCCTTGGCATAATAGGTTATGCTGGTGTATTGTGAAATGAGCAGGCAGATAGTCTGGCTGGTTCTGTACCACTTAGTGGTGAACCGATGTATGACAAGTCAGATGTTGTGAGGGGCCCTTTGGGACCGAGTGAACAGAGCGGAGGCACAAACAGATCATTACAGTCTGAGGAGGATGGTGCTGCGGGGAGTTACCAGGGGATCTGGCTGTCGCTCAACACTCAAGGGAAGGGCGAGACAGATGTACAATCAGACAGTTACCGGTGCCATCAGAACTGGGACTCTTCCCTTGCTGCTGAAGATGGGGGAAAAGCACTTATGTGAGTGTCCCAAGTGAAGTGGTAAAAAGGTTTGATTTCTGTGGCATGCAGGTTTTTATAACAGATCGTGGCTTTTGAATAGTGATGTGAGAGTCGCAGTATTGAAGAAACAGGAATTCATTCCTCTCTTTACAACATTCAACTCAGGGTTTTGTCTGGACGTCCTTGTCTCCTTAGTCCATTTGTTTCTCATGTCAGTGCCTATCTGGTGATTCTCTATCTCTATGTCTCTTCACGATACGCCCAATATATTGCCATGTTCATTGTCTTATAACTGACGACACACACCGCTGACAAAGGAACTAACAGTATACACACACACACACACAAAAGCCCTGTTCTGTTAAATGTATGCACAGACAAAACTCTAGTCGTGGAATAAGACCACAGTCCAAAAGTGGATGAACAAGCAGGACTTCCTGCCTGTGTGTACAGCTGGTGAACACAAAGAAGAAGAAGAAGAAGAAGAGAATTTACAAGCACAAGTGTTTTTAGGATCTCTGGAGATTGTTCATTGAAGTCACTCCTTGTGTGACATCCTCCATGGGTGACATGCCACCTGGCAGACAGTGACACTGAGCCTGGTGCAAGGAAGCCAATACACTCACCTGCAAACACGCTGCAGAAATAACACTGTCATGACTTCTAAACTGGCTCAGTGATCTGAACAACAATCAACATATCAGACTCATGGGTTAGACCTCCATATTCTAGAGGTTTTGGCAATGAATCAACCATCCTCAGAATATTACTAACCTTTAGCTTCTTTAGAGTTCTTCCATGTGTATTCCGTGTATGACTTTCAAAGGATCGTTGGCACGCTATATTGTGATTTACAGCTAGGTTCTGATTTTTTATCCCTCTTGGCACAACATATCCAATGTAAGCAAACCCTTAATCAGTCGCCTTTTTTGACATATCTATTAGGAGACATCTGGACTTTTTTTTGCCTCCAAATTAGGGACACAAAAACCATATGAGAAAAATGTAATGTCTATGCTAACTGCCAGCCTGCGTGACACCTGCCTAAGGTTGGTCACATCAACCACTGAGTGCCAAGTGATTTATAAAATACAGATCTAGCCCTATATGCCTGAAGGTGTGGAAAAAGGTCCTTTACTTTGCTTACACTAACCCTCAAACCTAACTGTACAGAGAGATACAGCACATGACACACCCCTTTGCCACTTACCAAGTGCCGCAGTCCATTCAGGAAATGGTAGGTGACAGGAAACGCAAACACGTATTTAGCCCCGTAAATCAAGGGTGCAGGCAGGCTCAAGTCACGAACATACTCCAGACATTTCTTGAAGTCCACAGGAAAACACAGGAGGATGATTGCAGTACCACAGATGGCTGCAAGAAAACAATGTTTGACCAGTTTATTTCAAGCAAGTCTTGATTCAACCAAAAAGTGATTCCACTGATGTCACCACAAGTGATTCTTGATATCACCGACAAGTGTTTCCACTGATGTCACCACAAGTGATTCTTGATATCACCAACAAGTATTTCCCCTGATGTCACCACAAGTGATTCTTGATATCACCAACAAGTGTTTCCACTGATGTCACAAACAAGCGATTCTTGATATCACTAACAAGTGTTTCCACTGATGTCACAAACAAGCGATTCATGATATCACCAACAAGTGATTCCACTGATGTCACAAACAAGCGATTCTTGATATCACCACAAGTGATTTCACTGATGTCACAAAAAAGCAGTTCCTGACACAACCAAACAAGTGATTATTATACTAATGTCACAAACAAGCAATTCCTGATATAACCAACAAGTGAATTCACTAATGTCAGGATCAAGGAATTTTTGATTTAACTTTTTGAGTCCTGGGGGGGGGGGGGGGGGGGGGGGGTATGATTTTGACCTTTAACAAGTGCAGCACTTTAAAACAAACCACACAACTGTAGCTGGTGTGCAACATACACACATCATACATGAAAAACAAAAACAATTATACCTTTAGTATTGAGTAAAGACAACAGTGACTTAGTTTGAGAGGTTAGTAAATTATGAACAAGTTTTTTCCACTTAACCAAAAGCTGTTCCTAAAATTCTTGAAAAGTATATCTAACATGCATCACAAAGGAAGGTACACCACTTGAAAGTATGCATAGCCAATATTAAAGCAAAATGTACAATAGTTGTTGTTCCATAGCAATTTAAATAACACTACCATAACACAACAAAATATATTCTCCAGTGTTCTGTGACACCTGCTGGACATGGAGGCTTGAACAGAAACCTTGATGGTGTTCTTCCCTCAGTAACACCCCATCCACTGACCACGACTATCATTCTGGCGTGTACTACTAGTAGTACTTGTACTAGAAGTGCTGACATTTGGACTAGCTAGTGTCACGTTATGGGATGCTTCAGCATCACCTTTCTCTTTTATTGCCATGGCAGAATTAGTCAGTGTTGTTCTCTCAGCAGGAGGTAAATTACACACATGTTCCTCATCAGAACTTGACCTGTCAACAGGTTGGGAGAAATTCCACGTCGTTACTATCATCATCCAACTCTTTATTACTTTGATCAATCCACTGTTTTAATAAATTTGATGCTTCTAAAGCAGTAAACGACTGATCGGACATATTGTTTTCAGACAATTGTTTGGTAATGTAATAGACCACGCATATATAGATTTATAGCATTAAAAACTCAAAAGACCTAAACGAAAACACTCCACGTGTGTTCACTACACACTTAAGAACAGAAAGGAAGTTTAAATTGAGCGGTTTGCATGTAATTACCGATAAGTGGTAAATTAAAAACCCTTATTTGTTACGTGTCGATTGGGCCACCAGGTAGTAACCAATTAGTCCGTGATGCGTTTCCTGGGACTCAAAGAGTTAACAAGTAAGTGGTACTACTGATGTCACAAACTAAGCAATTTTTGATTTAACCAACAGGCAATTTCACTGATGTCATGAAGTGACATCTTTAAAATGAACCTGACAACACAAAAATACTCACCAACTTGCATGACCACCCCTGTGATTCTGTGAGTGAGTGATGTCATCATTGCCAGGTGAGGCCTGCAAATTTCAACATTAACAATTGGTCACCATAAGTCAACCAACTATAGATTTGGCATACAAACAAAACTAATCCTAAGCCTAAATGAGACAGAGAAAAAGAATCTGGACATCATATAGGGATACTGTCAACATTCAGATCATCATATACATCTGTATTTCTTTTTTTTTTTAAAAAGAAATGATGAACATTTGATTAAGTAATTTGGACAATCCACAAGCAAGCTGTTGCATTTCGGTACTTGGGTACCTTGATAACAGCAGATGGAAGATGAACTAAGATGTTAAGTCTAGAATAATAGCTCAAGAAAATGCAATATTTCACAAAACTAAGAATATTCTAAGCAATCTTTATATGCCAACTAAAGTGACAACAAGAGTTTTCAAGAACTATATAAATCCTATCCTGACATACTGAAGTGAATCATGGATTGTTGGCCAATTAGTGAAAAATTATGTGGAAGTGACGGGAATGTAGTTTTTATAAATGAATGATGTAATGAAGACATGGTGAAAGAGACTGAGGAGAGAACTATTGTTCACATTAGAAGGAGACAATCTACATTCTTTGATCATGTAATGAAAAGTGGAGTACATCATGACAGCGGAAAAGTTGGAAGGTGAAAAAGGCAGAGGGAAACCAAGAGAAAAGATACTGGACAGTTTGAAATCATGGCATCTAAGATCATCTGTGACAATCAGGAAATGTGTGGCCTAAGTCATAACCATCTTACATAGTGAGAAGAATCAAATGAAAGCACCACCTTAGGTAGTTTGAAAAATCATATGAAAGTACTGCCTGAATATGACACTGCCCCGACTGGAGTGTAAAGAAGCAACATGACAATAGAAGTGTGTCAAGTGCTGTAGTAAACCAAAGGCAAGGTGTTGACAGAGGCTTGCTGGCAAGTGGAGAAAAGCTGGCTCACTCTTGGCCAAGATGCTATAGCTGAAACGGCGATGAGGGACAGAGTGCACAAAATTCACCTTCTAAAGAGGAGGGTGGCTCTTTGGTGAGCACATCTAGTGGTGGCCATTACAGAGTTAGTGGCATTAGCGGTGAAGCAAAGTTGTTTTATGTCGGCAAAGGACTCATGTGCACAAAAGGATAAAGACACCTGTGTCAAGACCCAGGTGGATCTGTCTGCAGTGAGTGTTAGGAAGGCAAGGAGACCACAACTTTAGCAAAGTGAGACTTCTGAAGATTTGAAGCCTCCTGTTGCGCATCCCCCACCCCACATTTAAACAGCATACAAGCGTTCTATAACAGATGACACTTTCATATGCAAACTCAACCAAGAGTTGATTAGGAAATTGGAAATTAAACACAAAATTTACAGACTTACTTATAAACTGTCAAGAAGGGTGACAGCGGGCGGTTCAACTTCCTGTTACGTGTCCAGTATCGGCTCATCTCCTCGTAGGCATTTGTGGCCATCTTTGACCTTTCCAAGGATACAAAACGGAAACAGAGAATGAAAAATACAGGTTATTTATTAACTGATTGAACACTGCACTGAATGTGCAATTTAAGTATTCAGTCTTCTTTGGCACAAAGAGAAGGACATACTACATTTGTCATGCACTGATCCAAGACACTCTTGGTGTCTAGTTTCAAGATCATGTAGAATCATTAATAGGTACCATAAGGTAGATGTGAAGGAGGTTTGTGTGTATGCTCCAGGTTCATATTATAAAAGCTGCCTTTATTTTTAGAACAATTCCTAGCACCCAATTTTAGGCTGGGTCACAGGAGCCCAGTGATTTTAATGAATCTGCTTTATGACTACAGAGCAAGCAGACAAGTATGCCAGCCACTGGACCACCGCAGCTCATAAGTTAGAGTGGTACTTAACTAGATGTGAATGACCCTTGAAACAGAAACAAAGCAGCAGCAGCATGGGGGAACCACAAACAAACACACACACACAAAAAAAGAAGAGACAGAAAACCTTCATACAATAAAACTGGCAGTAATCCACAGGCAAACTTCCTAGGCCTCTGCAGGCCGGGTTCATATGACTTCAAAATGACTTCCTGCTACTTATTTCATGTCTGCCTTAAAATGTACTGCTTATCTGCTATTATACTGCCCACCAGTCAGACATTACTATTTTCCAATGCAGTAGCAAAACTTGTCAGTTGTGTGACAGAATTTCAGTTTACAGTGTCGGCTAATAAATTATCTACATAACTTTCCTGGAACACTGAGGGGTCCTAATGGAGAAATAATATACAGTACAAGACCACGACTCTTGATGTCTCTTAGCTTCTCCTGCTCAAGCCTACCCCACCATAACTTGAAAAAATGTTATAAAAAATGCATTGCAAGGTAGGAGCTTAAACCCCCAGATGGAAACTGGATAGACCAACAAATGATGTGTAGGTGACATCTGATTCAGTCGGCCAGTTAACGAGTCAAGTGCATGGTGCAACACCATGAGCTGTTAATTTCACAGGGAATGCTTATTGTCAGTGCACCTGGAGATGGTTATAAAGTGCATTTACAGAAAAAAGCAAGTGGCTGGCTGCTATAGAATTAGTGTGCCCTATACAGTAATACATGCACATCTGCTGGTGTGTCGTGACTGCTGCTTTCATCAAATATGAATAGCAATTATAGTGACACAGTGTAGGTTTTGTCACCTCTAGCGGCTACCTTATGTATCTGATGCATGCACAAGCTGTTGGATTTTGCTGGAACTGTCATTTGACTTTCCACATGGGACAGTGATGGGCATTTCATGTGGTTTTCACTGGCACAGAATTGGAGCAATAATGAGATGATCCCACTGATAGTCAGGAATGACTGTGACAACAGCATAATGTAAGATTGGATATGATAATGTTGGTGTGTGCATATGTGCACTGTAAGAGATTATATGTGTCTGTGTGTGCTCTGGCACATAGTAGGGCATTATAATTGCCTATGTATGTATGCATGTATGTATGTTTGCACAAAACTAAATCGAAATCTGAAGAATTAAAATAAAAGCACACAAACTACTTCAGACAACACATGGTTACCAAACTGTGTTTTCCACTGTGACAAGACAGATAACCCACCTTCTGGACACCAACATTGATGTCTGCCTTAGGAAGCATGGTGACCGAGCCAGTGATCTGAAAGACATTTCGAGTGATGCTAGAAATAAAACTTTGTATCTCCGATGCAGAAAGATGCAATATATGTGTGGCTAACATAAGCACAAAACCCTCATTACAGCACTTATAGCTCCCTGCATACTAAAGTGGGACAGAATATCTGCATTAATTTCTTATAACAACAGGTTGCAAATGCACCCAACAAAAAACATGGATGGAATAACAAATGAGGTAACGCCAAAATCAGATTCAGTCAACAGTTACAATCAGAAAATAGCTAGTGGCTGGTTGCCATAGAAATAGTAGTGTGCCTTTTGCAGTAGTGCATGTGCATCTGCTCGTATGTCGTAATTGCTGCCTCTATCAACTATGAACAGCAATCCTAGTGCAATTCTAATTTAAACACGTGGGAAGTTGTATAAAGAATCCAGAAAAGTAGCTGTATATCAATGGAGATAAAGCAGAGGACTGGAATTATCAGCTGCTCCTTGCTGACAGAGACGAAATCTGAGCATTTATTGGTTGAAAAGTTCAAGTCGAGAGGAATGACATCATTTTAAAAGGTTAAAGCCGAGAGGACTGACTTTATTGCACCAGGTTTTATACCATATTGCTCAGTCTCTCTCCGCAAAACAGCTAGCCGCCTGCCGAGAGTGCTGCAAAGAGTATGGACTCTGTAGCTAAGGCGATGATCCCCAGGGATCTCTGTACAAACTGCACTCATGAACTTAACAGCGTAGCCATGAAATGAACCCACAACCTTCAGGGCGCAAGGCAAACGGCTTGACCTATTCCCCATGGAGACAACCCCAAACACTGGTTCAGATGTCCCTGTGCACTGGGAATGATCTGATGATTAACAACAGTAGGATAATGTGTAGGTAACTCCACAACAGATCTGTCACTAAGGTTTGTTGAGCTGTCAAGTCTTGACAAGCATCAGCGTACAATATTGAAAAAAAAAAAATATATATATATATATATATGTGTTTGTTGCCCAGATATTTCTATTATGTCTTTTTACCATTTTATGTTTATCTTTCTCAGGCAACTGTTTTCAAATGCATTCAACTTTGTTCCATGTCATTAGTAATTCTTCAAATTTCATTGGCACATGTTAAAATCAAATAACATAAAAAAAAATATTTACATAACTTGGTTTTAAAACTATACAATTTAGAGCTACACATTTTGTTCAGGCTTTTAAAAACTGCAAATCTCTTGCCAATGTATGTCTTAATTTATTTCTGATTATTTCCATCACTATCAAAATCACTAGCTAAATATGCAAATTGATATTTACTGAATCATCTGTTTTGCTTTGCATGTCATTATTGTTTTTACATATCAGAATAATATCATTAGCAAAGTCGAGACCTTTCTTTCAAGTGTGTGTGTTTTCCACCCAGTTAGGGGGTATGAATGCAGTTTTGTAATTCTGAAATACCAGGTATGAATCTCCTGAAGGTGGTTTGGTAGCAGAAGAGTCCTACTATTAGTACTACCATTAGGAAAACTACAGCCAGCTCCAACAGTAAGGCCGAACAGGTCAACAGAAATTCCCATTTTGTTAGGCTGGTCTACAGTCGGTCTGTGCTCACCATTGTTATCAAGTAAATTTTTACACAAATTTAACTACAGTTTCATTAACTTGCAATATATTTTATTGAATGAATTATCATTATAAAGATAGGTAAGTGAGCCGTTAGAAAATAGGGCTATCCTCCAAATAACGGGTACATATTGTAGCGGCCAAAAATATACCCTAACAAGGCGCCTCACTCACATGTACATAATGGACTTCCCACGCCGCTACGCACAGCATAGAGTGGGGCTAAACTAGATGGCAGGGACTCATGTGCAAATAAAATGAAGGAAGCTGCAGGAGATGCGGCAGCTGCTGCTCATGAGCCCCATCTAGCTTAGCCCCACTCCACGCCCCGCGTAGCGGCTTGGGAGATACTCTCGGCGGTGGCAGTAGTCGCCGGAAGTCCGCAATTCAAGTCGCAGGAAGTCTGCAATTTACATGTGACTGAGGCCCTGTCAGGGTGTGTTTTTGGCCGCCATAATATGTGCCCGTCATTTGGAAGATAGCCGAAAATAGAATAATAACAATAAAATACTCCATTAAATATGTTGCAAGTTAATTAAACTGTTGCTTAATTTGTGTATAAATTTACTCGATAACAATGGTGAGAGCAGACCGGCCTAACAAAACGGGAATTTCCTTCCGTAGACCTGTTCGGCCATTCTACTGCGTCTGCTGGTCTTGAAGACAACAATGGTAAACTAATAAATAAACACAAACTTGCTTATTAAAAAATAAATATACTGGGACTGGTCTCCAAATGACGTCCTGTAAATGTAAAGGATGTGCAGCTTATTTATTAACTATGTCCTCCTGTATGCATTAAATATTAAAAGAAAAAAAACCTCGCACATCTGACATCATTTTTGTCAACACAAGGTCATGAGGAAGATGATTGACACACAACATATCTCGGCAGAGTAAACATCATTTCTCAAGAACAGCTGAACCATCTAACATGAATCGTGACGCGAAAGTCAGAATTAGTACAATACAACCTGGACAGTGCTCAGGTTAGTTCAGACAAAAATGTTCTCCGACACTGACTCGCACCGGGACGTCATCGTCAAACTTGGATCGTTACGCAACTTTTGAAAAGATGCATTCATAAAGTTTCTTTGCTGGCTTATGTGTTCTGCCAGTGTCAGACAGATAAATGAGATATAATGTTTAAGATATTTATGCAATTCCTACAAATATTTACCATGGAAACACTTTGTGGAATATAACAAAGTAAAAGGAAGAAAGATTCAAAATTCCTACCTGACTAGCAACGCCATGTTGAATGTTCTATTAAAAACAACCTTGACAAAACCGCTTTCCACACACAGGAGATTACATCATCATCATCATCATAAAGTGCTTTGCCGGCTGCAGAAATAAGTCAAGTGTCCACAATGAAGACTGGCTGCAACGGATCTGTCTCTTGTTTTGGTTGTACACTCACTTTTTTCAGACTGCTGTTTGTCCGTCTCTTGAAGTTGTCCGCCCTGCTCTCTAGCGTAGGTGGCTAAACCTGATTGCGCGGGGACCGGGTGACGAACGCCTTGTGGTCCGGGTTCACTCCCGGGGGTATGCAGAAAAGCCACATTTCTCCCAGATTTACGGTATTTACAGTGGAATCAAGGCCGAAAAGTTGCGATATCCATAAAAAGAGCCTTAGGGTTAACAACTCATGGCTTCTGGATACTAAAACAAAACAAACTTGATGTTGTCCTATCACTTGTATCTTGTCTACAAATTATCAAAAATATCTTCTTCTTTTTTCTTTTTTCAGGTGGCAATGTGAAGCATATGATAGATTACCTGGCAGAAGACACAAAATTTACTGAAAATTCTGTTACCTTTTCATTAGCATATCTAACAGATTTTGTTTAAAGCTCTGAATAACTTGAACTTTAAACTTCAAGGAGAGCCTGGCAACATAATTCTGTCCTATGATGCCATCTGTGCTCTCAAGATTCCCAGTCACCAATTCACCATATAGGAGATCTTTTGGAATACGACCATCCTCCATGCGGGAGACATGTCCCAGCCAGCGCAGACGTCTTTGCTTCAGTATACAATACATTGATGGTATTTTTGCTCTTGTGAGCACACATTCGTTGGAGACAAGGTCTCGCCATAATATACCAAGGATGCGTCTCAGACAGCGCATATGGAAGGTATTCAGTCTTTTTTTCCTGTGGAGCATAGAGAGTCCAGGATTTGCAGCCGTACAGTAATGTGCTCAGGACACAAGACTCATAAACCTTCATTTTTGTATTATCAGTTAGCTTTTTGTTTGACCAGACTCTCTTTGTGAGATTTGCAAACATAGCAGAAGCCTTACCTATACGTTTGTTTAGTTCTGCATCCAGAGAATGATTGCTTGAGATACGTGAGCCTAGGTACTCAAACTCATTTATAGCCAGCAGCTGATGGTCATACACACTAATGTTTGGTGGATTTCCAACACTCAGTCCCATCACTTGTGTTTTGTTCAGACTGATGGTAAGCCCAAATTCTTTGCAAGCATTTGCAAAGCGATTCATCAGGATCTGCAGATCATCCTCTGAATGTGCCACAATCGCTGCATCATCCGCAAACAGAAAATCCCTGAGGCATCTCGTGTGCACCTTCGTCCTTGCACGTAGCCTGGACAGATTAAAAAGATTGCCATCTGACCTCGAACGGAGGTATATCCCCTCAGTTGCTGTTCCAAATGCACGCCTCAATAATACGGTAAAAAAGATGCCAAACAGCATGGGAGCCAGAACGCATCCTTGCTTTACTCCATTTCGAATCTGGAAGGGTCGAGATGATGAATCCTCGTATATTATGGTCCCCCTCATATTCTCATGAAAGGATTTGATTAGGCTCAGTAGTATAGGTGGGCATCCATATTTTTCAAGGATCCCGAATAGACCATCTCTGCTGACATAGTCAAATGCCTTAGTGAGATCTATGAAAGCAATGAGCAGTGGCTTCTGTTGCTCTCTGCACTTCTCTCGTAGCTTCCTGATGGGGAAGATCATATCAACTGTTGATCTCTTGGCCCTAAACCCACACTGTGATTCCGGGTATACTCTGTCCGCTAGAATTTGCAACCTCTTTAGGATAACACGAGCAAAGACTTTTCCCACATAATTCAATAGAGAGATACCGCGATAGTTGTTACAGTCGCTTCTATCTCCCTTATTTTTATAGAGAGTTATAATGTTGGCATCTCTCATATCCTGTGGCACCGATTTTTCTTGCCAACACTGACAGAGGATCTTGTGTAGCTCAGGAAGAATAGCATCCTTGGAGCATTTTAGGATCTCAGTTGGGATACCATCCTCTCCTGGGGCCTTCCCTGAAGGAAGCCCATCTACTGCCTCAACGATTTCTGTGACGGAGGGTTCCGTGTCTAGTTCACCCATGGTTGGCAGACATTCCATTGCATTTAAGGCCTCTTCACACACAAAGGTGCTTGTAGCATATAGCTCTGAGTAGTGCTCCACCCAACGGTTCAGCTGCCTTGTCCGATCCTTTATGATTTCGCCCGTGGTTGATTTGAGAGGGGCAATCTTTCTTTTTACTGGCCCAATAGCCTTCTTGATGCCAGCATACATTTCCCTTATGTTGCCAGTAGCTGCTGAGTTTTGTTTCCTCTCACAAAGTTTGATCCAGTTATCATTAGCGCAGCGCCGTGCAGTTTTCTGGACTCAAGACCGAATGGACCTGAGCACTTGCAGATTTCTTATATTCGGCTGGATTTTATATCCCAATAAAGCCTTTTTCTTCTCCTCTATTATTGGCAACATTTCTTCTTTGTGTTCCTCAAACCAGTCCAGTGATTTAACTTGCCTCTTACCGAACACGGACATGGCAGAATCATATAGGGCGTGGTTTAGATGTTTCCATCTGTCACTAGCATCCGCGTTTGGTGGGCCGGGCAGAGCTGTGCTCAGGATTTTTATAAATTCTCCTACTTTTCCAGGATTACGACTTTCTCCTGTGTCAATGCGGGGCCGTCCTGGCCTCTTTGCCCGATGTATTCTGCTTGGGATTAACTTCACTTTGCTGCACACAAGGGAGTGATCTGTGTCACAATCTGCACTGTGATAGCTGTGATAGATGAAGGTGACTGCGTCTAGTGAGGATGATGTCAAGCTGGTGCCAGTGCTTGGATCTGGGATGTCTCCAAGAGACCTTGTGCTGGGGTTTCAGATCAAAAAAGGTATTTGTGAAGACAGCATAGTTCAAGCAGCCTCTGTCCATTTTCATTCATTTTTCCTACTCCAAAATGTCCCATACAGGATGGCCATGAGCTGTGCTCAGCGCCCACTCTTGCATTAAAGTCACCCAAAATGAATAGGGCTTCCCTGTCCGGGACTTCGCTGAGTGTGGAACTGAGTTCCTCGTAAAATGTGTCCTTGGAGTCGGGAGAAGAGGGCAGGGTTGGTGCATAGGCACTTATCAGAGTGACTGATCCAGCTCTTGTCTGGACCTGAATTTTAAGGATCCTTTCTGATCCTCCTGTAGGTGGTGTAGCAGTTCCAAACAATCGGTTCCTAATCGCAAAGCCTACGCCTTGTTCCATGGGCTCCGAAGATGGCTTTCCCTGCCAGAAGAATGTGAAGTCCTTCTCTTTGATGCTACATGAGGAGGAGAGCCGGGTTTCCTGTAGGGCAACAATGTCTACGTTCAAACGGGACAGTTCATTGTTAATGACTGCAGTTTTTCTTACATCGTTCATATGCTGCAGATTGTCAAGAATACCAGGTGTCATGGTCCTCACGTTCCATGTGCCCAGCTTTAGAGCTGGGAATCCGATTTTTGGGCTTCTTTGTGTAGGTACAAGGATTACAATCCGTATGTCGGGTTATCCCCTAAGCCCTGTGCACTCAACTTGGCAAACGGATCGTGGCGGGACAACACCTTACTGACTGGGGGCTGCCCAGCTGAGGCGGGCGGTAGCTGTCCAATGAGACTACGATGGTCTCTCCCACCGTCGGAAACAACCCCTGGCGCCTAGCTCTACGCCAATTGAGCAAAGGCTTATAACCGGTGACTGCTGTTTCCCGTGTTGTGTCGAAACTATTAAGCATCGCTGGAGTGACCTCTCCAGGGCACAGGCCAGGGAGTTTTGATTTGGAGTACAGACTGTTGCCCAGGCAGCAAGTACCCCCTCTCTATGTCGCCGGTGATACCAAGGGAAAGGCAAAAACCAGTACAACTTGGCACCGAGGACGTTGCAGGAATTGCTGGAATAGCACTGTATACAATGCTAAACCGCCTTAGGGATTCCAGCTCCGGATTTTTCCTCAGGGTTTACTCCCGAAGCGCTTTCCCAAACATGGGTATAGCCACAAGGCAGTGGCACAGGAGAGTAAAACTGCCTCACAAGGAGGGAGTATCTGCTTTTGTATGTATCCTGTGTGGCAAAGACTGCCATTCCCGCATCGGACTTTACAGTCACAGCAGATGCTGTTCCCAAAGCCAGCGGCACATCTCCATAGTCCCCCGGGACTGACGGATGCCATTACTTGCCCTTACGTTTCCGCATCTTAATGAACCGTTGGAAAATCAGAAGTGTTCAATGAAACTTACAGGTAAAATTCACATTTAGATTTTCTAGGTTTTTTTTTTAAAAGTTGCATATCCTTTACAGAACGTTGCAGAACCAACCTCAGCAGCCCCTGGCTGTTGTGTGATTTCTCTAGACAAATTTACGTCCAGTAGTTTGCCATTGCTTTCTGGACGGTCGGCTCCCTGATACCACTGTCAAAACCAAGGCAAGGCGCATGGCCCGCAGCTGGGATCAAACCCGGCACCCCGGCATTACGAAGCGTTCGCATCGAATTAGCCACAGAGCCGACTGATTTTCTGGTAGAGGAATTAAATCTCTGTTTTCCCTCTCTATTATTTGAAGCCCCTTTGCTTGGAAGTTACCCACAAACCCTTTCATTATTAACACTGATAAACTACCAAAGTCTTTTCAAGTAGAAACAATTGAGCTGAAGTGTAATTCATGAGGTAAAACAATTTCACATTTTAAGCTTTGGATTTCTTTTTCGATGCAGCATCTTGCAATTTACCCTCACGTGGCTAAATTAGCTAGAAATGTTCATTTGCCATCTCCTCGACACACCTTTCTAAATCTGGATTTTCAGTTTCAAGTAGTTGGGAGGGGGGGGGGGGGGGGGGGGGACAGCCTGGTATGCAGAGTGATCTCCGTTGTGCCTTGCCCATCAGACATGTAATAGCAGATATCATCATCAACAGAAAACAGTGTCAACCACACACTGGAATT